AGAGAGGAGGAGAGGAGGAGGAGGAGGAGGAGGAGGAGGAGGAGGAGGAGGAGGAGGAGGAGGAGGAGGAGGAGGAGGAGCATTAGGAGGACGGAAAGGGGGATCAGGAGGTGGAGAAGAAATATGAGGTGGTGGAGGAGGAGGACGAAGCCGAAGAGGAGTTGCATGGTTTCCGGTGGTTTTCAGGAGTTCCCATGGCCCTCTGGGGCCCGCGTCAGGGGCAGGGCCCCCCCTCCAGCCGCCGAAAGCCGGACGCGGGGCTCCACGGCGGGAGTGCCGATGCCTCGATCGATCCTCCGTGATGCTGCGCCGCGGTCCCCTAGAGAGTGTCTGACGTCGACCTCATCTCGTTGGGCGCCGCACCGACCGCCGCGCATGCCCGGGTGGTGTACGGTAGTGCGGCCGGGTGTCCAGCGCATGTTCATCGCATGCGTGCCCTGAGAGCCTGGCGTTCAATCTTGTCACAACGGGCGATGTTGCCCTGCCTCGGGCCCTGGGGCCCTCACAGATCAGTCCAGCTCGAAAAATGGCGCAGAAAGGTCTGGAGTTTGGGTCGTGTTTTTTTAATCACGATGTTTAGTTTTTTCTTGTCGCCGGTTTGAGGGTAGTTTATGGCTGGGTGTCCAGCGAATTCTACATAGGAGGACGAGGTACCGATGCCGCTACCCTTTTCTCGTTATCGTTTTTGGGGGGCTTCCTGGGCTGCCCTCGTCGCCACGGCTGGACTGTATTGAATGGTTCTTCCTATTTGCATCGCATGCGTAGTTCATTTTCCGTTTGGAGTGCGCATCGTGTTACGGACTTGCCTTAGCAACCTCAGGATCGGTAATTACAGCCAGAGAGGGTGCAAGCAGAATGGCGACGAAGAGCGACAGCATTTCGCGACTGTTTGGAACATCTAGGGCCCGTTTTCAGTGCCGACGCGGACGTTGTCCGCTTGAGAACACATGCAGCTTGTCCAGCAAGAGCAAGGCCCCGCGGGGTCCAGGAAGGCTTCTCAGAAGCCGAGAGGGTTTCTTCGACTCCTTCTGCCTTGTTGCTTCGAAGGCCTCCGGGGCTTCGGAGAAGGACGCGCCCCCCTCGCGCCACTCTTTTGCTCCGTGCCGTCCAGAGAGTGTCGCGGGGGTGCCAGGTGCAGGCTTGACCCCCAAGTTCTCGGATGGAGGAGAAGCGACACCAGCACCAACAGGGGGGCCACCTCCAGCCAGGAGGTCCACGATGCCTCCCAGAGCTGGAGGCTGGGGATGTCTCGAGCGAGAGGGGGGGACCACAACACCAGGAAGGCCCCCCTTGCCTCCTCGCATCTCCTCGCCCTGGTGGTGTTGGTGTCGCCTTTCCTTGTTCTCAAAGTTCTTCATGAGCGGCGCAAGAAACAAAAACGGGGGTCGTCTGTGCCCGCGTGAGGTCGCGCGTGAGCGCCCTCGCTTCCAAGGTGGCGAGCCGCGCCGGCGGCCCGCGTCCGCCGCGGCGTAAGTCCGCCAGGCCTTCTCTCGCAAGACCCGTTTTTGATCGTCGCCCTCAGGGCCCCAGCATCGATCGCGACTGTTTGTCACAGCGTGGATCCTCGGAGGTCTGGGGACTCCTCTCCTTGAGGTCGACGTTCCAGCGCGGCCTCTCTCCCCTCTCCTCCTCCCCTCCCCCTTCCCCCCCCCCCCCTTCCTCCTCCTCCTCCCCTCCTCCTCCTCCTCCTCCCCCTCCTCCCTCCTCCCCTACCTCCTCCTCATCCTCCTCCTCCCCCTCCTCTCCTCCTCCTCCTCCTCCTCCTCCCTCCTACCTCCCCTCTCCCTCCTCCTCCTCCTCCTCCTCCACCCCTCGCCTCCTCCTCCTCCCATCCTCCTCCTCTCCTCCTCCTCCTCTCCTCCTCCTCCTCCCCCTCCTCCTCCTCCTTCTCCTCCGCCTCCTCCCCCTCCTCCTCCTCCTCCTCCTCCTCCTCCTCCTCCTCTCTCTCCTCCTCCTCCTCCTCCTCCTCCTCCTCCTCCTCCTCCTCCTCCTCCTCCTCTTCCTCCATTCTACATTGCGCGGACATTACTCTGGGTTTCTTCATAAGCGTGGGGGGGCACACCCCCGACGGGGGTCAACCTCGCGTCGTCGTCACGCCATGGCGGGGGTCGGAGCGCCTTCGGCGCGCGGTGGCTGCCCGTGACGGGGGTCGATGTGGGGCTGTCGGCGGGGGTGACGCCCCCCCCCCCGACGCTTATTAAAAAAACTCGGAGTAGGTACGAGTCCCCCTTATCCTCCTCTCCTCCATCCCCTCCCCCCCTCCCTTCCATCTCGTTCGCCACGCGAGGAGGTCCGGGTCCGACCCAGCCCTGAAATTGAGAGCCGCTGCCGCTTGCTGCGTCCCAGCGACCCCCCCAGACCCTCTCGAGTCATGAACAAGTCACGACGGAAGTTTTTCGCTATTTTCGGGCTCTCAGGGCCCTTACTGGGCCTCGGGGCCGTTAGAAAACAACTCAGGATGAAAAACCGATCGCCGGGGAATGGGCTGGAACCTCTGGGGGTGGACGTCATGAGCAAAAATCATGACGTCGGGGTTCTGGGAACAGCTTACGCTGTCGGCCTTCATGAAGACCGGCGTGGAACTTCTTGTAGACCACTTCGCTGCTATAGGTTACCCGCGCGTGCACGAGGGCAATCGCGCTTCGCGCGTCGGGCTCTGGGCCGGAGCGGCCTCCCTTCTCCAAGGGGGCAGCGCGAGGGCGCCAGGGCGCGAAGAGTTCGCGCGTCGCGCGTCGCTCGGCGCGATGCGTGCGAGGAGGGCGTGCTGTGATTATAGCTCTGGGCTGCGAGAGCCACGCGTTCGGGGGGCGGCCCGGCCGTCGGGGCCCCGCGCGGTCGGCCGGACGCGCTCAGGCTGGGGCGCCCGCGCCTGGGGGAGTGCCCCGCCCACTCGCTGCGGCCGGAGACGCTGCTGCGCGCGCTGCGGCTCCTCGGCGAGGCCTTCCAGGTCAGCGAGTCGCGCGGGCCCTGCGGCGCCGTGCGGCTGTGCGCCGGCGGGGCGGAGGCGGCCGCGGCGCCGGGGGGCCGCGGCGGCGAGGCGGCGCAGGCCCGGCACCCCTGGGCCGCGCACGCGGCCGCGCCGCCGCCGCCAGAGGCGGCCGAGCAGGCGCTGGGGGCGGCGCCGGCCGCCGCGCCGGCGGCGCAGAAGCCGGCGGGGGCCGCGGCGGTGGCCACGGCGGCCGTGCCCGCGGCGGTGGCCGCGGCGGCCGATGCCGTAGCGATGCCGCCGCCACCGCCGCCGCCCGCCCCGCCGCCCCCGCCCGGCAAGAAGCCGGGTGCGCGGCCCTCGCCCGTGGCCCTGGGCTTCGAAGCGCCCGCCGGGCCGCGCGGGGCGGCGCCGCCGCAGGCGCAGGCCCCCGCGGAGGCGCAGGCCTCGAAGGCGGCGGGGCCGCTGCGCATCGACTGGCAGGACATCCCCTTCCTGGAGAGGCTGATCCGGGCGGGCCTGCCCGTGGACGCCGCGTGGCAGGCCGCGTGGAACGAGCACTGCTTCCTGAGGAAGTACCCCGCGGACTTCTCCTCGCCGCTGCCGAGCGACCTGATCCGGGAGTTCGTGGAGCAGCACCTCTACGAGCTGCGGAACAAGGAGTGGGCCCGCGCAGTGCCCCCCGAGGCGCCCGCGGCTTCCGCGCGGGCGGCGGCCGACAGCGCCCCGGGCGGCCAGGTGGCGCGGCAGGCCGCCCCCGTCGCTGGAGCGCAGCAGGCCCCCCCTGGAGATCCTACGTCGCGAAAGACGTGCAGCACCGTGAAAAAGTGCACGGCTGGAGCCCTAGGGACCCCAGTTTTCTCGTGCGCTGTGCGCCTCGAGCAGCATCGATCTCTGAGGGTCCCCGCGGGCGCTTCCACTTCCGAGGCGAGAGCGCCCCGCGCGGACAGAGATCGCGACGCGCCAGGATCTCCGGGTCCGAGGCCGCCGCGCCGGCTCCGGCCGCGGCGGCCGCCGCGGCCGCGGCGGCGGCGGCCGCGGCGGTGAACCAGCGCCTGGCGAGCGGGGGCGGCGAGCGGAAGCAGGCCCGCGGGGGCAGCGGCAGCGCGCGGGGATCCAGCCGCAGCGCGTCCAGCTCCTCCTCGAGGCGGCGGCAGAGGAGGAAGAAGGAGAAGGGCAAGAAGAAGGGCAAGAAGGACCCGAGTAGAACTAAGGAGGGCCAGGCTGCTCCTCCACCAGAAGACGCATGATGTCGGATTGAACGAATTGATGGCAGCACTGGCCCGAATATTTGATTCCTCGTCTGGGCCGACGGCCTGGGTGTATTGTTTTTGTCGCTGGCCCGCCCAGTTTTCCATTTTACCCAGTCTCCGATCATTGTGTTCATTTTGATTTCAGCCTTCATTGATTTCGGCTTCCTGGTAGATTGGCCTTCGGCCCATCCCGCCACCGTGCCTGCGTTGTGGGTTATGAGGTGTCCTGGGTGCTCGTTGGCACATCGTCGAGGCCTCTCGGGGGCCCGGAGGCCGTTTGGAGGTTCCTGGGGGGCCGTTTGGGGGCCTGCTGTGGCCTCTCTTGGGGGCCTATTTGGGGCCTTGTGGGGACCTCTTCGGGGTCTCTTGAGGCCTCCTCTGGGGCGCCTTTTTGGACCTCCCGGGGGTTTCTGGGGGCCGAGTGGTCGACATGTTCCTTCGGATTCCCCGTCTGGGCCCCCTCTTGGAGCCGTCTTGGGGGCGCTTGGGCCGTCTTGGAATCCTCTTGGGCCGTCCAGGAGACTTTTGAAAAATTCTGGGCTGTTATGAGGCCCTCTTGGAGGCCTCTTGGGGCGGTCTTGAAAGCCTCTTGGGCCGTCCCTTGGCGTCGGGAAGTCGAAAAGGAGAGAAAGGCAAAATCTGCCAGAAACCTTGGGAACATCCGCGAACTGCAACTCTTGGGGCCCTCTTGGGGAGCCTCTTGGGGCGTCTTGGGGGCATCTTCGGCCCTCTGGCGGCCATCTTGGGCGTCTTCGACCGATCGTTCGGCGACTCGGGACCCTCTTCGGCCGTCCTTGGGGCCTCTCTGGGTCCTCCTGGCCCGTCTTGGGGCTCCCTCGGCGTCCCCGAAGCCCCGGAGGCAAACTCCGAGAGGGCGCAGTGGCGCCCGAGATCGCCTGGGAAACTGGTGGTCTGGGTCCCTCAAGAGACTTGAAGGGCCACAGGCCCTCTGCCTCGCAGAGCTGCGTGAGCCAGCCTTGGGGCACTCCACTGCGTCCCGCAGGCACAGTGGTGGACAGTAGTACAACGAAGGCAGGCGCGATGAGATGATTCACAAAAACAATGAGGAAGCGAGTCAGAAAGCAGACCCATTTTGTCAGTACGCGAATTCGGAGCATCAAGAAGGAGGGACCGTCACAGGCAGACGATTTCTTCGGAGCTCTGCGCGGAGTTCTCGGATCGGCGCTGGGCACGACATGGAAGTGCTTCGGGTTCCCCCCCCTGGCGCACTCCGCGCGACAGGGAGTGGTGTCCAGCGCTGACCGAAGAAATCCGCGCGCACCTCCGAAAGTTACTGTTCGCGTCGGCTTATCACCTTCCGGGAGGACGAGAAGGCCAAGCGGGCGCCCGGGGGAGAGTCTTCCCTCGGCGAGTCCAGCGACGGCCTGGAGCCTTTGGGCACCGTCCCCGACTTCTACCACAAGTCCAAGATGTGCTGGACCTTCTTGGAGGGGAGGTGCACCCTCGACAAGTACTGCACGGCCGCGCACTCGCAGAGCGAGCTGGTGCAGCCGGGTGAGGCCAGAAAGCTGTGGCAGGACAGGGTTCGGCACGATCGGAACGGGTACGGAAAGAACGGGGACGAAGACCAGTAATTAGCAATTCTAGCCCATTCTGAACAGGACTCGCTGTTGGTGTTTTCGGGATGTGGTCCGTTCGAGTCAACCAGTCGCCCGCCCAACAGCGGCCGCTGTCGCTCTTGGACGACATTTCCGTGTTGGGCATCGTTCCAATTTTCTTTCACCCATTTCGGGCGTGCCAGTGGTAGGGGACCACGTGCGAACCCTGCCCCTATCCCCCACGATTCTGAGGGGTAGGGTGGGGTTCGCACGTGGCCCTCTAAGTGGGCCCACTTCGGCCCGATCGGTCCGATTCGGCATCGATCTCGGCCGTGCCGAGGCGGCTCTGACGTTCTGGCGATCCGATTTGTGTCCGATGCTGCCGGTATGCTCGCAGGGCGCTGCTGTGCGGCCGGGCGCGGCCAGTCCGATTCGATGCCGACTCCGTGCCGATGCGGCCTGGTTCCCAGACCCCTCGAGTCATGAACAAAAACACTATACTTAAGTCGGGGCTGTCCCTCTACAGGGGGAATATTTCAAAATAGTGAGATTATCCCAGTGCACCCTATCTAGGAGTTGGAGCATTTAGGAAAGCAACATCTACATCTACACCGACAGCTACATTTACATCTACACCTGCATCTACATCTACATCAACATCAACAGCGAGACTCACATCTACATCTACATCTACACCTACATCTACACCTACATCTACATCTACATCTACACCTACACCTACATCCGCATATATGCTATGCTATGCTATGCTATGCTATGCTATGCTATGCTATGCTATGCTAGGCGATGCTAGGATATGCTGTGCTGCGCTATGTTATGCTATGTTATGCTATGCTATGATATGCTATGCTATGCTATGTTGTGATATGCCGTGCTGTGCTATACTATGCTTTGCTGCGCTGTGCTATGCTAAACAATGCTCTGTTACGCTATGCTATGCTACGCTGCGCGATGCTATGCTGTGCTATGCTATGATATGCTGAGCTATGCTATGCTATGTTATGCTATGCTATGCTATGCTATGCCATGCTATGCATGGCTATGCTATGCTATGCTATGCTATGATATGCTGTGCTATGCGGTGTTAATGCTGCGCTGCGCTATGCTGTGCTAAGCTAAGCTAAGGCAAGCTATGCTAAGCTAAGCTAAGCTAGGCTAGGCTAAGCTAGGCTAAGCCAAGCTAAGCTAAGCTAAAGTAATATGAGCTAAGCTCAGCTAAAGCTAAGCTAAGCTAAGCTAAGCTAAGCTAAGCTACGCTACGCTACGCTACGCTAGGCAATGCTAAGCTAAGCTAAGTTAAGCTAGGCTAAGCTAGGCTACGATGAGATATGCTAAGCTAAGCTAAACTAAGCTAAACCAGGCTAAGCTTAGCTAAGCTAAGCTGGGAGAACCCAGGGGGCGCAACTGGGGGAACCGCGGGGCGGATGCCAGGGGAACCGCCCGGGCCGGGTTACACTGCCCGGCCCCTTTAAGAAAGAGGATAAGAACCCTCTAGGCAGAGCCTAGGTAGGGGAAAATTGTCTGGGAACTATTTTTTCACCATTATTGCAAATGTTTAGTGTATTGTGGAGGTGTTTTAGAGGTTTCGTCCAAAATCGGCCTGTAGGGGGACAGGCCCGATTTAACACTATAATTACGGACGTTTCGTCTTTACTTTCGGCCTCCAGGGACCCTTTCCGGGCCTCGGGACCGGCAAAAACGACCCGGGATGCAAAAAACCGGTCCCGAGGAATGGGTCGAGACTTTTGGGGGTCGCCGTCGGGGGTCTGGCTTCGGCGCGCGTTCCGATCCGATCCGGTGCATCGATCCGATGATGGCCGCTCCCGCAGGAGCGCGTGGACCGAAGGCAGCGGAGGGCCGAGAAGAAGAGGCGCCTCGCGGAGGCCGAGGCGGCCAGCGACCCCAGCGGAGGCATGGGGAATCCCTTCTTCGGCTGGAGCCCGTATCCTCCGGAGCTGATGCACCAGTGGGGCATGCCCCCCGGGGGCCACATGGCGATGCCGTGGGGCATGCCGCCGGGGATGCCGTATCCGGGGAGCCCGCAGCCTGCGATGGTGCAGTCCGCCGGGGCGGGGGCGCCCGGCGCGGAGAAGAAGAGCAGGCGGGAGGAGAAGGCGAAGAAGAAGAAGGACAAAGACGAGAAGAAGGAGAAGGAGAAGGAGAAGGGGTCGGCCACGCGCAGAGGGGGTCTACAGTGAAAGCCTTGAGTAAGGAACACCTGCTTTTCAAGAGGTGCTCGGTGGTTCCTTAGGTTTGCATGTGTTCCGCTGCCTTTTTGGCGTCGAGCCCCCCCGGTGTTCTTTACGATTTTGGGCGCGCGGGTTCGCTTTTTCAGTCGGGTCGGTGGGGGAGGGGGAGGCTTCTCAGAGGGAGGCTGCTGCTCAGAAGGCGCGGGCCTTGGCTGCAGATGTGGGGCCGGCGCCGTCTAAGAAGAGGCCTCCTTCTGAGAAGCCTTCCTCCCTCCTCCCAGACCCTTCTGCGCGCCGCCAGAGGAGAAGGATAAAGACAAGGACAAGGACAAGGCCAAGGACAAGAAGCAGAAGAAGGACAAGGAGGGCAAGGATGCGGGAGAGGGCAAGGCCAAGAAGCAACGGGAGGCCTGGGGGCAGCCTCAACCAGATGTGCAGCTCGACTCGACCTCCCGTTTCCTCAAACAGAGGATATGTCGACCCCTATCCCAGGCTTCGTGGCTTTCCGAAGGCCAATGGACCAGAAATTGAAGGCCCCACCCTGGGATATACCATGGGGGGGGGGGGGCGTCCATCCTCGATAGGAGTGCGTCCGACTGGCCCCCTGGGGGTATACCCCAGTGACCAGTGCTTCCCGCTGTCTCTGGGCGGCCAGACTCTTCGGGCGGAGCTCGGGGACTGGAGGAGCAGCATCGCCTGCGATCCTCGACCCCGTCCCCTTCCCTGGGGCCAGCCTCCCGGCGGTGCACCGCGAGACCGGGTCTCTGAGTCCGAGGCCGGCCCCTTCCCCCCCTCCTCCACCAGGGGGTGCCAACCTCGCCATCTGACGACGTGAACAGATCATCCTGACGTCGTGTGCAATCGCGACTGCTGGGCCCCCGTGGCCCTGGGACCCAGCTCTCTCTCTCTCTCTGCGGCATCCCCCGAGCTGAGTCGCCCCGCGAGGGGGCCCCGAGCCTTCGCGGGCAGGAGACACGCCTGGCGCATGGCAACAGAACAAGTTGCGGCGCCCAGTTCTCGGGGTGATGCGCATGTGGTCTGGGCCCTGCCCCCCCCTCCTCGCCAGTTCGGGGGTTGCCGACGACGTCCTCGTGCCAAGGTGTCCCCAGCTTTTCGCTTCATCTTGGAGCCCCGTGGGCCCTCTGGACCTCGTGGAGGTCGCAGGGGCCTCCCTCGGGGTCCTGGGCACACCTTGCGCCGGGGGCACTTCCTGGCAGCACCCCGGTCATCTGTCCTGGAAGCGGAGGTCAAAGGTTCCCGACAGGAGGGGGCCCCATTTAGGCAATCTCTCCTCCTCCCCCTCCTCCTCCTCCTCCTGCTCCTCCTCCTCCTCCTCCTCCTCCTCCTCCTCCTCCTCCTGCTCGCATCTGGAGCAAGAACTTCTGGCAACGCCCGGGGAAGGGGCCACCACACCGTGGGCCGAGGCCCACAATGTGGGACACCCGCCCACCAGGGGGGCGAAGTGGGGCGAACAACAGCGCCCTTGCGTGAGACACGAAGAGTTGCCCCGCCCACACCCAGAAGGGCCCTCGGGCAATGAGGAAATCACGACGGGAGGTTTGCCATGATTTTCGGCCTCCGGGGGGCACTTCCCATGCCTCAGGACTGTCAACAAAACGACCCAGGATGATTTACCAGGGAATGGGTCGAAACTTCTGGGGGTCGACGTCATGACAAATTCATTACGTCGGGGGTCTGGGCACTTCGCTGTCACACGGCTGTGGCTCTCCCCCCTACCCACACAAGGTTCCCAGCGACCTCAAGATCATGCGCCCGCGTTTGGGCCTCCCCCTGAGATCCGACGACGTCAAAAAACTGTAGCATCGTGAACAGTCACGACCGGAGCCCCGGACTCCATCATTCTGCGGCGCCTCTCGAGCCGCATCGATCTGTGAGGGGCCCGGGGCCCGTAGCCCAGACCCCGGACGTCATGATTCTTTCATTACTTGGGCGTTGCGTAATGGGGGGGTCATAAATGAGGGGGTGGCGAGGGTGGTCCGAAAAGGTACCCAAACGGTACCTAAACGAGCCCCCTGGGGCTCTGGAGGGGCCCGAAAGGGGCACGAAAGGGGACCTTTTCTGACCCCCCCATTTGTGACCCCCCCATTAAGCAACGCCCAAATTACGTCGATGGCGAAAAACCTTCCGTCGCGATTTTCTCATGATTCGAGGGGGTTCGGGAGTGGCTCGAAGACGCCCGACCCGAACAGCATGAGGCTCCAGGGCCTCCCCCCGGTGATGGCTCGTATCCTTGACCATTCTGTCGAACCAGCTCGGCAGCCTGCATGGGGCCCCCAGAAGTCCGATCGGCGCAGTAGTGCCGCCGTCTTGAGGCTCTCGTCGAGCTCTGGCTGGCGGCTTGGGCCTCGACCCTGCAGAGTGCCAAGAAAACAGCAGACCGGTAAGGCCTGCTTATGTCGAGGAAGAACAAAACGGCATGAACAGAAACTTTCGGCGCTCCGCGCGGATTTCTTGCATCCGCGCTGGGCCCCCTTCCCTGGCGCGCGGAGTGTGCCAGGGGCGGCGCCGGAGGCGCCGCCCGGGGGCGCCCAGCGCGGATCCAAGAAATCCGCGCGGAGCGCCAAAAGTTTGTGTTTGAAGCGTTTCTCCAGACCCTCGGACGTCATGATTCTCTCATTACGTCGACCCCCCGAGGTCTCGACCCATTCCAAGGGATCGGTTTTTTGTCCTGAGTCGTTTTTGACGGTCCCGAGGCCCGGTAACAAAAAACAGTCGTTTTTTGACGGTCCCGAGGCCCAGCAAGGGTCCCCAGGGGCCGAAGCTGGCGAAAAACTTGCCGTCAGGAGTCTTCCATCATTCGAGGGGGTCTGCGTTCCTTCTTCCATTGCAGCCCCCCCCCCTCCCGTACATGGACAATAGAAATAGATTCGAACCCTAACACATTTGAGGGAGATTCTAAATCACCCCCGCGCCCCCGACATCAGTGTTGATCTCAGTAAAGGCGGTGCTTTGGGGTTCGAATCTTTCCGTCCACTCACGCCCCCCCCGGCGCCACGCCATCCATATATTCATTTCGGGGGTCTGGGGGGCATCTTGGGCCACAGGGTTCGAATAGAATGTCCATGTGCTGTCCCTCCCCCCGCGCAGGCCACCATCGGGCCGCGGCCCGGGTGAGGCCGCCGCCTATCCCCGGGCGCCGCCGGGGCGGGCGCCGCCGCCGCCGCTCCGCGGCCCAGCGCCCCCCACACAAAAAAGAATCGCGGCCCAGCGCCGTGGTGCCTCGAGCGGCCGCGGGCCTCGGCCGCGGCCTCGTCCTCCTCCTCCTCCTCCTCCTCCTCCTCCTCCTCCTCCTCCTCCTCCTCCTCCTCCTCCTCCTCCTCCTCCTCCTCCTCCTCCTCCTCCTCCTCCTCCTCCTCCTGGCCCCGAGGGTGGGGTCCTGGCACCTGTTCTCATGATGTCAGCGCCACACACACTCCTCGGGGCACACTGTCAGTGGCAATTGCATGCGGCGGCTGGGGGCAGATAAACCGGCTTTCGTCGTTCTTGCACCAGCCACGTGGCATTTTGCCCGTGGCAGCGGCGCGTTGGCTGCGTCCGTGACCTGGAGATGGGTACCAGGCACGGGGAGTGTGCATTTGATTGAGAGGCGGGGCCATGTGGTCCGTAGTCCCTTGGGACCTTGTGTCCGCTCACCCTGGGGTACGAACCCAGTTGCACATGCCATCCGATTCGGCAGGGGTGACGGTCGGGAAGTACTGCGCGGTGACGCGGTGAACCGGCTGTCCCCCTACGCACCACGCCGTCTCGGTTGGGCAGCGAGTCGCTGAGCGACGAGGTATCTGCCTTTCCCCTGGCCGTCGGTGTTGGCGCCTGCGGGCCCCTTCCTCCTGTCTAGGAGGCCGAGGGTGACGGTTGAGCCTCGCTCGCCGCTCACTTCTTGGATCATACGACACTCATGACCTCCTCCTCCTCCTCCTCCTCCTCCTCCTCCTCCTCCTTCTCTTCCTCCTCCTCCTCCTCCTCCTCTTCCTCCTCCTTCTCCTCCTCCTCCTCCTCCTCCTCATCCTCCTCCTCCTCCTCCTCCTCCTCCTCCTCCTCCTCCTCTCCCGGGACCGTCAAGGAACGACTCGGGATGAGGAGGCGTGCCTGCGGAAGGGGTCGAGGCTGCCGGGGGGCCCGCAGGGAGAAAGCATCACGGCATCGGGTCTCTGGGCTGCCACGCCGCGGCAGCGGCGTCAGATGGAGAGGCGGGAGGATCCGAGGAGGGCGAGTTGAGACCAGCGGTGGCTGGCCCTCGAGGGGCCCCCTCGTCGCCGCGGCTGGGCGCAGCTCGGGGAACTGCTCCCTTGGGACCCTGGGAAGGGTACGGGGACCGATTTTGAGCTGTCCCGTGGGGCCCCCCAAACGGTGCGGCGACCGCGCCGCGTGGTGAGTCAGCGGGGATATTCGGGGCCACTGCACGTTTTGGTGGGATTCGGGTCGTTCTCCGAGCACGCGTCGGGCGGTCGGGGCCTCCGAGGCCCCGAAACCGTGCGGTTGCGGGCCGCGCGGAGAGGTTTCTTGGGGTCTCGGGGTCACCGCGTGGTCCGTGACCGCACGGCCTCTGGCCCCCCCTTGGCGCGGGGGTGCCCCTGTGCCCCAGGGTGGCCCCAGCTCTCCAGGGAGGCCCACGCGGCCTCCCGAGCATCCCTCGCAAGGCCCACGGCCATGGGGTCCCGGGGGGATCCTAAACGGAGCGGGAAGCTGGGGACCCCCTCGGGCCAGGGTCACCTGGGTCTATCGCTTGTCTACGGGACGGACCGGGCGGAGGATTCAGGGCATCTCTTTGTGGGGCCGGCCCCGAGTTTGAGCCAGCGTTTTTCCTTGTATCCGCTCCCTCTTATGAAATCGCACGCAAAACCTCACTTCAAGTTTGGCTTACAACGGGGGGCTGGCCAGGCCCATCTCTATATGAGCTTTCACAAAGGGGGGCGCCCCGAGCAGCTGAGTAGATTTTGATGTCGCGTGGCTACAACCACCCGACATCATAAGATCGTCTATGCGCGACCGCGTAAGTTGGTCCAGCTGCGTTCGTTTGCGCCGCGTGCCACTTGCCCAGAGTATGCTCGTGTCCTCATCCTCTCCTCTACCCTCTCCGTCCCCCCGATGTCTATTGTCATATCCCTGCGGCCTTTTCCTCCTTTCCCCTTTCCTTTCCTCTGCCCTTCGAGTTCCTCCTCTGCCCGCTTCTGCCCCTGCTCCTCGTCGCTCTCCGCAGCTTCCTCCTCGCCCCCTCCCTTCGTCACGCCCTCCCAAACAAGTATCATCGTTTTCGTTGTCCTCCTGCGCCCCTTTTTATTTGCGCCTGTCTGGGGCCGAATGGCCCTTGAATCAATATGAAAATGAGGAGTGGGAAGAGGGGGGTCAGGAGGAGGAAAAGGAAAGGAAAAAGAGGAGGACAATGAGGAAAGGAAGGCATGGAGGACATGGAGGCGGATGTGGAGGCAGATCATGCGGTGGATAAGGAAGAAGAGGAGGCGCAGGTCGAGGTCGAGACGGAGGAGGAAGATGAGGAGGAGAAGGAGCGGCGAGCGGGAGGTGGCGGGCAGAAGTGCGCGGGCGGAGGTGGAGGTGGGGATCGGCGAATGTGCGCGGGCGGAGATTGGCATTCTAACCTTCTTGGGCTTCAGGACGGCTTCGGGAGTTTCCCGTGGAAGATCCAAGATGGTTTCTTGAAGTAAACTGCAATCATTTGCTTGACCACATCTACCATTCACGTGCTTCCGCCGGCCCCCAGCACCCAGGCAACCCGGCCAGGCCAAGCCCAGGGCGTGGTTGCAACATAAACCTCAGCGTTTGGAACTGGGTGGCCCTGGAACCCCCTGGGCGCCCCTTTAGAAGCAGTCCCCCGCAGTAACCCAACCTCAAGAGGGCCCTCTATGGGCGAATGCCAAGAACAACAAATATATGAGGCTTTCCAGGAAGGGCTTCGTCTTCAGGAATCGCAGGGGCTGCCATCTGTTCCTCGGCAGAAGGCCGCGGAAGATCGGCGGACGTAGAACGAGGCAGGCTCCGCCGGCGGAAGCTGGCGGAAGGGTGGCGGAAGCTGGCGGAAGCCAAAGATGCGCCCCCAAGAGATGACAACATGTTTGGGTTCGGGGCTTCCTCCCGAGCCCGCCATTATGGCCCTGCACACGGGGACCAGCCCGCCCTCATCCTTTCAGCTTTGAGCAGCCTCCGATGGAGGGCCTGCGCGGCTCTCTCGGAGCAGACTGCAGGGGGGGGGCGAATGGGGGGGGGGGGGGGCATAATTACTGGCGCGCATCGACGACGATGCCATCCCCGTGAGCCGTCCCCGAGGGGGGGGGGAGGAGGAGGAGGAGGAGGAGGAGGAGGAGGAGGAGGAGAGGAGGAGGAGGAGGAGGAGGAGGAGGAGGAGGAGGAGGAGGAGGAGAGAGGAGGAGGAGGAGGAGGAGGAGGAGGAGGAGGAGGGGGGAGGAAGAGAAGGAGGAGGAGGAGGAGGCGAAGGAGGAGGAGGACGACGACGACGACGAAGACGGCGACGACGACGACGGCGACGAGGACAAGAACGAGGACGAGGACGAGGAGGAGCCCCCCGCCGCGCGGCACGAGCGCGCGCGACCCATCCGCGGATAGTTAGCGGGGGCTCCGCGCCTCTGTCCAGCATGCTCGCCGGGAAGGAAAGGGGCAGAGGGATCCTCCTCCTCCTCCTCCTCCTCCTCCTCCTCCTCCTCCCTCCTCCTCCTCCTCCCCCTCCTCCTCCTCCTCCTGCTTCCAAGGCCCTTGCGTCCTTCTCGCGCATCCTTACTACGTATACGGGTTGTCTTTAGGGGGGTGCACGGGCTCCATTGGTGCTTTCTCGATCTTCTGAAACGTCCCCCCGCTTGGCAGGCCCAGCGGCGACCTCGGGGTGGGTTGGGGTGGATTGGCGGGTACGGGATGCGGACTTGCTTCCTTCATGCTGAGGGGAGTGCTTCGGGCGCAAAGGGTCGGGGCTTGTGGGGGGCCACGTGATTCGAAGCAGTCAGTCGGGGACCCACGCATATACAACACCACCGCGGGCTGGTTTTCTGTCATGGAGGTTGATTGGATTATTGTTTCGGCGGTGGGTTGCAGGGTTCGTCAAATCTCACGGTAATAACATGTCGCGTGTGCAGCGTCATTTGGGCACTCGGTCTCACGCGCAAAAACACACGCATTCACGTGGTGTATATTTCGGGATGGTGTATAACAGCTCCACGTGGCAAATACTTGAGCTTGGCAGGGGCAGGCAGTGGCATCCTTGCCAGGGCGGTCGCGCGCAGGATGTCTTCCTTTCCTGTGGCCGCCTGGTGGTGGTTGATCTATTGGGGCCCTGCAGTCGGGGCATCGTGCGTGTGGGGCAGGGGGGCTGTGCCCCCGAAGTCCTCGTGGTTCGGCCAGGTTGCAGCCGCTTCCTGGCCCGCCTTCCCGCCGTGGCCCGCTGGCCGTTGTGGGGGCCGTCGCCGTGCCCCCGGACCGTCAACAAAACGATTCAGAATGAAAAAACCGGTCCTGGGGAACAGGTCGCAACCTTTGCGGGTCGACGTCATGAAACAATCATTACGTCGGGGGCCTTCTCAAAAGGCGGCGGGGCTTCTCAGAAGCCCGCGCTCCTTTGAGAGTTCTCCCGTGTCCTCGGGGAAGGCTCAGGAAGCTTCTCAGAAGGCCGAGAGACTTCCGATTCTTCTGAGAAGTCCTGCCCCGTCTCACTTCCCCCGGGCTTGTCGCCGAACGTAGACATCCAGCACCTCGAAACAAATCATCGAGGCGAATGTTCTTCATCGTTTTGGGCCCTGCGGGGCGCTTACAATTACCGGGCCTCGGACCGTCGTCAACAAAACGACTCGAGTTGAGACATCGGTCCTGCGGAAGCGGTCGAGAGCTCGAAAACATGGAGATGCCAGATGTCTGGGCATCTTTCTGCTGCATTTTGTTGCCAACCTCTACTTTTCCGATGGCCCTGGGGCCCCCGAGCGCCGGGCGAAGACGTCCGGCGTGCAAAAAATTCGGCGTCGGGATCTGCAGGGTCCTGCTCTGCTCCCCTCTCCTCGAGGCTCCTGCTGCTTGTGCCGCTGCCTCCCCAGACCCCCTCGACATGAAAAATCACGACGGGATGTTTGTCATTATTTTCGGCCTCGGGGGGCCCTGGCCGGGCCTGGGGAACGTCAACAAAGACGGCTTGGGATGAAAAACCGGTCCCGGGGAATGGGTCGAGACCTCGGGGGGTCGACGTAATGAACAAATCATGACGTCGGGGGTCTGGGTCTACTGCCCTCCCCCGCGGACCAACCCCCCCCGGGGGCAGGAGCATGGCTACGAGACCATGTCTGCAATCACCACCGTTGGGTAGGCTCGCGAGCGTGGGAAGTTCGACCAAGTCTGCACCATGTTTCGGAAGAGATCCCGCATACCTTCGTATATCGTACATACATGTGCGGCTTCCCCCCCCATCCCCCCCGCAGGCGCCCGCCCCCCAACGGCGATGTCGCGGTGGAACTATTTCGTGACGGCCAAGAGGCCTTGCCCCCAGACCTCCTCGCGTCGTGACAAGAGTTGCGACGGCAGATGTTCGGCCACTTTCGGCTCTTGGGGGCCCTCACCAGGCCCCGGGACTGTCAACAGACGGCTCCGGATGAGAAACGATCCACAGGGATCGAGTAGGTGATCGATTATAGAGCTGTTTTAGCCCGAAATGGGTATTCCCGTCGAAGAAAATGTGGAGTGCTCCTAGACCTGCGAACATGCTATGTCTTGGCGTAGATTCGACGAACAAATCAATTCCGGGTAAATCATCTCTCCAACGAGTCGATCGCCTACTCGAAGGGAGGGTGTCGAGGCCCTTGTGGGGCCACGTTGCGAGACCCTCACGACGTCGGGGGTCTGGGCCCCCGCCGCTCCCTTGCAGCTGTTTGCTCTCTCTCCCGGGGCGGCGGCGGCGGCGGTTGGCGCGGCTGGACCTTCCCCGGAGTGACCGTTGGTGCGGGTCCCCATGACACTCGGGCAGGTGGCACTGCGGGGGGGGGGGGGGGGGCCGGGGGTAAAAGAAAGAAACGGGCCCCAAAGGGGCCCTTGAGGGCCCCTCTTGGGCACAGCAGGGGCCCAACAGGTGCCCGCGAGGGCTCCCTGAGGGCCCTTTTCTGCACCCCCCATTTGCGCCGCCCGCCATTCAGCACCCGCCCGAACGACATGGAGTTCCCCGATCGATTTCGCACCCGCCCGAACGACAGGGAGTTCCCCGATCGCCGACTGCGATGCGACGGCAGCGGCTGCCGCGCCCGGGCCTGAGAAACCGCTCGTGCGGCGTGCGGCCGCGCGGCCGAGCTCTTCCCGAAGGGCGGCGGCGGCTCGAGCTCGGGGGCGGCGGCAGGGGTCGCCATGGCTGCATCTGCCTCGAGAGCGGGTCAGGAGGGTCGGCGGCGCGCGAGGGGGGGAGGGTCGCAGAGGAGCAACACGCCCAACACACAAACTTGTGGCGCTAGGGCGCGCGCCGGACGCCTGGGCCGCACGCCGCCCCCCCGTTCTGCCCCGCGGGGGGCTCGACGAGGCGCGGAGTGAGCTCCGACGCCGCCGGCGTCGCGAGGTGTTGTCCTCGCCCTGCCCCCGGCGCACATCGGCGTTGCCGCGCCCTGCTGGAGCTCGTGCGCCGCGACGGCTGCCCCCCAGCCCCAGCGGCTCCATCGGCCCGCGCCGTCGTCGCTGCCGCCGTCGCCGCCGCCGTCGCCGCCACCGTCGCTGCCGCGCCCCCAATGAATGGGAGCCGACCTCGCGGCTGATCTGCAGCATCGCGAGAACTCGCAGCTTCAGCCCGGCAGACCCGCTCTTGCTCCGGCGCTTCTCTGTCCGGGTCAATCCGCGAGGGCCCGGGGGTCCCGAAGCAGGCGCCTGGCGGCCGCCGCCGCGTCGCCGTCGCTGCCGCCGCCCGCCGTTCTTCGGCGTCGCGCGCCGCCGCCGGCGAGCGACATCCCTCCGCGCCGCCGCCGCCCCTCACGAGCTGACAACGAGCACCCATACCTCTGCGACCCTGATGTCTTCCTCGCGGTGGCATTCCGATGGGGCTGTGGGTGTGTGTCGTCGGACGGGGGTCCCCGCTCGATCGGGAGCCCGCCCTCGGGACCCGACCGCCCGCGTCCGTCCTGACAGGGCCCTCCTTTCCCTGCCCTTCCCCATTGCTCCGTCCCCAGGCCCCCGACGTCATGATTTGTTTCATGACGTCGACCCCCAGATGTTTCGACCTATTCCCCGGGACCGGGTTTTCATCCTGAGCCGTCTTTTGACGGTTTCGAGGCCCGGTATAAGGACCCCCAGAGGCCAAACATGTTGAAATGCCTCCCGTCGTGATTCTTTCATTGCTCGAGGGGGTCTGGGTCCTATGGGTCTGAGTGGCTGTTTCTCTCTTGTCGGCCCCAGCGCAGGCCCACCGCGGTCACGCACGTGGTCGGCCCCCTGGCGCTCGAGCCCGGGGCGGGGCCGGCCTCGGACCTCGTGGTCGCCCGAGGCACGCGGCTCGAGGAGCGCCCGCCCCCGCTGACGCCGTCGCCGCCGCCGCCGTCGTCGCCGCACCCGCGCCGTCAACGTTGTCGTGACCGTCGTCGTCGTCGCCGTCGCCGTCGCCGTCGCCGTCGCCGTCGCCGTCGTCGTCGTCGTCGTCGTCGTCGTCGTCGTCGCCGTCGTCGACGTCGTCGTCGTCGTCGTCGCCGTCGTCGTCGTCGTCGTCGTCGTCGCCGCAGGCGCTGGTGTCCGGAAAGGGGATTGCGGGCTCAGGGGGGCCCACGCTGGGAAAACAAAAATCCGGTGTTGGAGGAGTCATAGGGGAATACACAAACAATGGCAGAAGCATAACGACTCGGAGGTCCGCGAGGAGTTCTCGGATCGGCGCTGGACCCCCCTCCCTGCCGCGCGGAGCGCGCCAGGGGCTGTGCAAGAGGCGCCGCCGGGGGGCTCCAGCGCTGATCCTAGGAATCTGCGCGGACCTTCGATGTTTTCTGTCCATGTCATTGTTTCCTCCTGCACGCCGCACGATTCGCCTTCCGGTTGTCCCGAATAGCCACACGCTGGAGCGGACAGCCTCCGCCTCGCTGCCGACGAGAAAAGATGGGCCAGTGTTGGTTTCCCTAGGATTAAGTCGGGCACGTCCCTCTACGGGAGGAATATCCCAAAACAGAAAGAAATAGTTTGCGAACGTTTTTTCGAATATTTTGTTGGCAATTTTTGTGCATTTGTGGACTATGTTAAGTTTTCGTCCAAAGTCCCCCTGTAGGAGGACACGCCCGACCAAACCCTGCAAGATGGTTTGGGGCCCCAGACACGCACGGACACAAGGAGCCGTCGATTCCCCAGGAGGAAGCCTGGGGAAGTATGGCAAAGGGGGGGGGGGGCGGAAGACGACAATCAAGGAAACAGGAGAAAGGATGGGGAATCCTGGGATTCGTGTGTGTGTGTGTGTTTACTTGTGTGCCCCTGGGCCCCTTCCTGGAGAGGTGCCGCAGACAGGGAAAGAGTCGTGATGCTCCACGGCCGCAGGGTTTTCGCAGCCTCGAGGGCCTCCGGGTCGCTGCACCCCGCCCACTGCACACAGGGGAGCGCGCGCGGCTCTGGGCGGGCTCGGGGCAGAGCCCCGCGCGGGGGAAGAGGGGCAGCTTCCTCGGCTTCCGGAGGGCCCCTTGAGACCCTATGGGCTCGGGGGTGGACGGAACCCCCAACAGTGACACGTCGATTGGTGAATTGTCCGTTTTCGGTTCTCGAGGTGGCGCCGTGGCCGTCATTTTCCAGGCTTGCGCCCGCCAGGTTTGGGCCTCAGGTCGTGTTCACTAAACCACGTTTTACTAAAGGGGGGTCTGTCCATCCCCGATGGGCCCTCGTGTGCACGTGTGGCCGACGCAGCTCGGTTGGGTTCCTAAATGCGGGGGCGTCCAGAGATCCCGACGACGTCATCGACGTGTCACAGATCCCTCAGCATGGCTACTTGGCAGGCCTTCGAGGCGGTGGTCTTGGATGTCCTGCGAACTCCGCTTCAGATGGAGGACCTGGGCAAGAAGGGAGGGATATTGGCATTCTCAAACTACGTGAGTCTCCAGCCGACGGCAGCACCTTTCACACGATGTTGCCGAGCTGCACGTCGGAGGCGGTGGTGGTGGTGGTGGTGGTGGTGGTGCGTGCAGGGATTTTTCAGTATGCTCTAGCTGCGCGTTGCGCTCCCCTCGCGCCGGTCGGGGGTGGGACTGCGCACTCGAACCGCATCGCAAGGAGGAGCAACTCTCCAAAGGAACCCCTGCACCCTTGCCTCTGGGCGCCTCCTGGGTCCTGGCTCGCTTGCCTGTGCCACGGGCCATGGGCTTCCGGCTTCGGCTTCGGTCTGGGCGTTCAAAGGGGCCTTGCATCCTCACCGCGCGACTGCATCTCGAACAAGAAGAAGCATCGGCATCAGCATTAGTTTTCGGAGGAGGCCTGCGCGGGTTTCTCTCGTCGTTGAACCTCCTCTCCAAGAAGAAACATCGGCATAAGCATGATCTTTCGGAGGTCCGCGCGGGGCTTCTCTCGGAGTTGAACCCCTCTCCCCCTCGCGGCGCCTCCGGCGCCGCCCCTTGCGTTTTCGGGGTCTAGCGGCGATCCAAGAACTCCGCGCGGACCTCCGACAGTCCCCGCGCGCCCGCCTCAAGCCGTCGCTGCTGCCACGTGCCTTGCTTCGCCTCGGCCGCGCCCCCGTCGACGCTCGAGCGCCGATTGGACTCGGAGGAGGAGGAGGAGGAAAATGACGGGGAGGACGATGACGACGGGGAGGAGGGGGAGGAGGAGGAGGAGGAGGAGGAGGAGGAGGAGGAGGAGGAGGAGGAGGAGGAGGAGGAGGAGGAGGAGGAGGGAGGAGGAGGAGAGGAGGAGGAGGATGAGGAGGAGGAGGGAGGAGGAGGAGGAGGAGGGAACATGACGGGGTGGACGATGACGACGTGGAGGAGGAGGAGGAGAGGAGGAGGAGGAGGAGGGGAGAGAGGAGGAGGAGGAGGAGGAGGAGGAGGAGGAGGAGGAGGAGGAGGAGGAGGAGGAGGAGAGGAGAGGAGCAGGAGCAGGAGCAGGAGCAGGAGGAGGAGGAGGAGCAGGAGGAGGAGGAGGAGGAGGAGGAGAGAGGCGGAGGCGGAGGAGGAGGAGGAGGAGGAGGAGAGGAGGAGGAGGAGGAAGAAGAAGAAGAAGAAGACGAAGAAGAAGAAGAATAATAATAAGAAGAAGAATAAGAAGAATAAGACTAATAATAATAATAGGAAGGAGAAGAATAATAAGAAGAAGAATAAGAATAATAATAATAATACGAATAAGAAGAATAAGAAGAATAATACGAAGAAGAATAAGAAGAAGAAGAAGAAGATGAATACAAAGAAGAAGAAGAAGAAGAAGAAGAGGAGGAGGAGGAGGAGGGGGAGGGGGAGGAGGAGGAGGAGGAGGAGGAGGAGGAGGAGGAGGAGGAGGAGGAGCAGGAGGAAGAGAGGCGGAGGCGGAGGGGGAGGAGGAGGAGGAGGAGGAGGAGGAGGAGGAGGAAGAAGAGGAGGAGGAGGAGGAGGAATGCGAGGACGAGGAGCATAATGGAGGAGGAGGCGGCCGCTGGCAAAGAAGTGCATGCCGCTGTTCCTTCTGGCAGCGCCGCAGGTGTAACCGAGCACCCCGGATAAGAAAGCATACCCCCCCTTAACCCCTTAGAGCTGTTCATCCCGGGCCAAGTCTTGGCCCTCAAGACGGAGTGGGTCGGGGGAAAGATGTGGCGAGGCCGAACTTCGTTATCGCCAGGGATAGTACGAATCGAAGTTACGATTCCCTCATGTTGTGTAGCAGCACTATCACGAACTTGTGGCAGGGCTATGGGATTCTCACAATTTCAGCTTTCTGAGCTCACAAACGTGTGGCAAGGCTATGGGGTTCTCACCATGTCAGCTTCCAACCGCACGAACGTGTGGCGGGGCCATGGGAGTCTCATGATTTCAGCTTTTCCCATATTGTTCTGCCATGCTAACATATCATCGTAGATAAGAGTTCCCGCCAGTATAACAATCTATTATTCCCCCCGAGCCCGGAATTTTGGTATCCCCACTTTGCGATTCTCAGGATTATCAGGGGCATTGGGCTGCTGTAGCCTCTCATCCGAAGTTGCATTTTTTCGTGTCATCCCACCTGGGGATCTCGGCCCCTTTCCCAGGACCGACTCGTCATCTTGTGCCGCTTTTGTACGGTCCTGGGGCCAGACAGCGGCCTCCAGAGGCCCAAAAACGTCTGTTGACTGACTGGCCGTCCCGATTTTTGTTCTGTTTGTTTGCGTCGCCCGGACACATTCGGGAGCAAGTCGCGGGAGCCTTGTAACAAATGCACTCGTCGTTCTCTCTTTACGTAGGGTGCATTCTCGTCGACTCGCGTTTCTGGTCGTCGATGAGATGGCGTCGACGAGAGCGTCGAGGCAGTCTCGGTGTGGCATCGATGCAGCGTCGACCAGCGTCGATGGGTGCCGAGTCGCGAGAGCCGGCACGACGGTGTTGGGAGGCTCCCACGCGTTGCCACCGAATGCGGGCAGTACTTGTATCCATATCCAGAGCGTCGTGGACTTTTTGGGAAGAGGTGCCGCAACGCCGAGGCGCACTGGATATGGATAAAGTCAAGCCTCTTGGGGCCAGATTGTTATCCATATCCAGTGCGTCTACGCCTTCTGGGGAAGAGAGCCCAAGAATCCACGACGCACTGGATGTGCCCGCACCGAAGGTGCACCGCGTCACGCCCTTCCCCGACGGGCCGCTCGTGCAGCTCCTGGACATGCCCGTGCACGGGCGCGTGGCCACGCTGCAGGCAGGGCCCGCGGCCGCCCCGCCCCGCCGTGGGTCGCCGGGCCCTCCTGCTGCGGCCCTGCGGGCCCCAAGGATGTACACCACCACCGCTTCCATTCCTCCTCCCCTCCTCCCGCTTCCCCCCTCTTCCTCCAGTCGCCTCCCGCCTCCCCCCTCTTCCTCCCGCCTCCCCGATTCCTCCTCCTCTCCTCCCCGCCTCCAGTCTCCATTCCTCCTCCCGCTTCCCCCCTCTTCCTCTCCTCGTTTGCGGGAGAGGGGGGGGTCGGGGGGGGGACCGTACATGGACAATATATTCGAACCCTGACACGTTTGAGGGAGATTCTAAATCACCCCCGCGCCCCCGACATCAATGTTGATCTCAGTAAAGGCGGTGCTTTGGGGTTCGAATATTTCTGTCCACTCACGCCCCCCCCGTCGCCACGACATCAATATTCATTCATCAATATTCATTTCGGGGGTCTGGGGGGCATCTTGGGCCACAGGGTTCGAATATAATGTCCATGTACTGGAGGTGGTGGTGTTGGTTTATGTTTCCTAGCCCCGTAGGCCCGCGGCACGGTGCCAGTCCTGGGCTCCCGGCCGGCGGAGACAGAGAGCCCAGACGCCCCCCGCCGCCTGGGGTTTGTCAACCTTCGGGGGCCTCGGGGCGCGGTCGATGAGAATACGGTAAGTTCGCGTCGTGTCGACCAGCGGCGACCCCGCCCGAGGCGTTCGACGTTGAGCGCCGCCGGCGACCCAGAAGCAGTCGAGGTTAAGCGATCGGAGGTTTCGGAAACGGCCGATCGTTCAAGGTTGAAATATCCCCGCGGTGTCAGAGACCAACGCCGGAGTCGGCACGACACGAACCTGCCGTACATTCGCCCCCCCATGGATGGGGGGTCTAGTCCATGTCCAGCTGCCTGCGGCAAGTCCCGCCACCGTGCTAGCCCAGCATTTTGGGTGGCGGCGATGCGAAGTGCACAGGAGGCCGTCACTTGGAACACGCTGAGTTCCCAGAGAATGGTGAGGATGACGAAGATGGTGATGACGCGGAAGAGGAGGAGTAGCAGGAGGAGGAAGAGGAGGAGGAAGAGGCAGGTTGTCACATTTGACATCTTTCGTCTAAGAGGGACACGTTCGCACACGACGAGTAAAAAAGAACAGGAAACATGAGGGACAGGTGCTACATAACAGATGTGTCAAAACGCAAGTGCTTACGGCAACAGGGGATCGTCGTATTTATTGGGTCTTCTCTCTCTCTCTCTCTCGTGTTTTTTTTTTTGTTCTCTCTCTCTCTCTCTATCGCGCAGCCTACCGCCTGTGCGCCGATCCTGAAGCGCCAAGGTGCATGGCGCGAAGCGCCAATGCAATCTCGTACATACATATATATATATATGCATTTGTGCACATAGCTATGTATATATATAGTGTACATGTATACATATATGTGTGTACGTGCATTCATGTGTATATATGTATATCTATATATAGATGTACGTTTTTACGTACGTATGTGTGTATAGATGCATGCATGCATGCATGCATGCACGCACGCACGCACGCACGCACGTATGTCTGTCTGTCTGTCTGTCTGTCTGTCTGTATGTCTGTATGTATGTATGTATGTATGTATGCATGCATGCATGCATGCATGCATGCATGTATGTATGTATGTATGTATGTATGTATGTATGTGTGTGTGTATGTGTGTGTGTGTGTGTATGTGTGTGTGTATATACAGACGGACCGGGAGGTGGGGAGGGCGAGACGAGCAGGAGGGGGGGCCCTCGCTCGGCCCCCCGTTCGGCCGGGATGCCCCGCCCCCCCCCCCCCACCGGGGCCGCAACCTTCTCTTCAGGGGCGCCCCGTCGCGCCTGCGCCCTGCGTCCTCCTCGCCCCCCCTCGCCGCTCCCTCCTCCTCCTCCTCCTGCTCCTGCTCCTGCTCCTCCTCCTCCTCCTCCTCCTCCTCCTCCTCCTCCTGCTCCTGCTCCTCCTCCTCCTCCTCCTCCTCCATCTCCTCCTCCATCTCCTCCTCCTCCTCCTCCCTTTCTTCCTCCTCCTGCCCTAGGGGGCAGGCTCTGCAGCCTCCTGGGTCCTTCGGCGACGCCCCCCGGGGGCGCCGCAACCCCGGGGCCCCGCAGGGGGCCCCGCGGGAGCTGGGAGGGTGCGAAGGCCTCCCGTCGGCCAGCCTCGCGTGGCCGCTGCCCCGCCTCGGGCCGGACGAGAGGGGGGGAGTGGGAGAGGGGGGGGTAACGGAACTTGCTGCAGGCAGCTGGTTTCGGCCTCACCGAGGGGCCCACTCCTCGATGCATGGCCGCCTCCGGCGCCAGGAGGCGCCGGGAAAGTCAGCTACACGTGAGCTGATGCTCAAAGCCCCCCCCTTTTGCTAGCCCCCCCTTGCGCCCGACCCGACATATCCTCACTGGGCCATGGCAGCTCGGCCGCGTCGAGTCACCCGCCCGGAGGGGGGGGATACAGAGCTTGGAAGAAATGAGCGAGCACTCGTGCCACGGTCATTGCGGGCAATAGTTATGTCCACATCCAGTGCGTCTTGGATTCTTGGGCTCTCTTCCCCAGACACCGTAGACGCACTGGATATGGATAAAAATCTGGCCCCAAGAGGCTTGATTTTATCCATATCCGGTGCGCCTCGGCGTTGTGGCACCTCTTCCCAAAAAGTCCACGACGCTCTGGATATGGATATAAGTACTGCCCGCATTCATGTGTCAATGTTCCCCCCCATGATCAATGTTGGTGGCGGTGGGCTGGGTGAGTTGCACTCCGACCGCAATCTTCCCCGCGCGTGCCAAGTCTGAGTTTCGGGGGGCGGGGGGGTGACCACTAATTGTTTCCCCCTACCGCAGGTCCCGCGTAACCCGAGGGGAACAGCACATCCCCACCCAGGGGAGTAGTTCAGTGGGCAGGTGGGACCCAGGCCCTGCCAGTGGGCCAAGGCCCTGCCAGTGTGGACCGGGATCTGTGGCAGCGTGGCCTGGCAGCATGGCCAGCAGAGGTTCGTTCCGCTCCCCCCCCGTCTGGGTCAGGGGTTGCGGTTCGCAGGCGGGGGGGGGGTGAAATATTATTTAGGCTTCCTCTATGGGGTCGGAGTAGATGTGGTCGGAGGATCGCGCCGTATCGTCGATGCATCGGCGATGCGGCTCGATGTGGAGTCCGATTTCATCCACGCCGACATCGCCGATGCATCGCCTAGTAGGTCGCGGGCGTATCGCCAATGCATCGGCGATGCATCGCCGATGCATCGACGATGCGGCGCGATCCTCCGACCCCATCTATTCCGACCCGATCTAGGTGGCCTCCAGTCAGGGGCTGCGTCTCGCAGGCCAGAGCGTGTATAAATAGCTGACAAGCTCATGGGCCAGGATCTGTGAATTCAGCGATGCTCAGTCGGCAGATCTGTTCCCGGCGCGAGGGGGCTTGGCCCGTCCTCCCCCCCTGCGCCGCTCGTCCCCGCCGGTGGCGGGCCCGGCAGCTGGCAGGCCATACGGCCGCCCGGCGCCGACTGCGAGCTGGTGCTCCTGTGCACCGAGAAGCGGCAGTTCGCGCTGCTCCGCTGGGACCGCGCGTGCCGCGCCCGCGGCCCTGCGGAGTGCAGCTCGGGTCGTCACCGCCGCTCGCGGGCAGGAGGCACGAGCGTGGCCGCCGCTCAAGTCGACAGCACCACTGTCCACCAGGGGTGCGGCCGGCGCCGCGGCGGGAGCACTGGTGCCGTGGCCAGAACGACGAGTGCTGCTGGCTCCGAGTCCAGCCTGGCCAGCGCTCAGGCGACATGGTGATCCCCACTCATCCGTAGCAAAGTTCGGCTCGAGCAGATCGGGTCACAAGCTGCCGGTGCCTGCCTGGATCTCTGGGATGACGCGCTCCCGGTTCGGTCCCCCTTCCGCGTGGGTCGTTCCGCCCGCCAAGGCGGTGGGTTCGGCTTGTGGACAGTTCAGTGGGGCCGCGCGCTCGGGGTCGGATGTGTTGCCGTGCGTCCAGCCCCGTGGTTGGTTTCGCCCCGACATGGCCCAGGAGACCACGACTCTCCAGTCGGGCCGCCTCCAGGCGTGCTTAAGTAGAAGGCCGTGGGCCCCAGGTTATGGGGGCGAAGCAGGCCTTGGCATTCTGCGTTGGAGCATACTGACGCCTCCCCCTGCGTGTGCCTTTCCCGGTCTTTCCTCCGCGCCTCTTCTCCCCGCGCTTTTCGTTTCGCATGTCCCTTCTCTTTTTTTCGATCGCGCGCGCGTGTGGCCTGTGGTGAGGCAGGGCATTATTCTGAGTCAGGGATGTGTAGCGAGCGCTACGGCGGACGTCGTCGTCGTCGTCTTCGTCTTTGTCGTCATCGTCTTTGTTCTTGTCTTCGTCATGGTAGTCCACTTCGTTGTTGTGTTCGTCCGCGCAATCGTCGTCGTCGTCTTCGTCGTCGTTGTCATCGTCTTCGTCGTTCTAGTCCATTTCGTTGTTGTGATCGACCGCGTCATCGTCGTTGTCGTTGTCGTCGTCGTCGCCGCCACCATCGTCGTCGTCGTCATCGTCGTTGTCCTCGTCATCTTCGTCTCCTGTCTTCGTCATCGCCCTCGCTGTCTTCGTCGTCCTTCATGTCGTTGTCCTGACGGCCCTTGTCTTTCCTTCCTAGTACTTCCTCCTGACCTGCCTCCTCGCGGTCCTTGATTTGTCTCGATTCCCTGCAACGTTCTCCTCCTTTCCTTCGCCCTCGTCCCTCTCCGTACTCGCTGTGATGCGCTCCTGTCTCAGGCCACTAGATTCGTGCGAGCGCCGGCCACACGACTGGGTAGGACGCGCGGAGTCGTTTGATCGCTGCCCGCGTCCGTGATTGGGAACGGTGCTCTCGCCTGTGCGCTGGCCATATCTTTGATTGGGAACGGCGCTCTCGCCTGAGCGATGGCCGCATTATCGATTGGAAACGGTGCTCTCGCGTCAACGCCTGCCACACTCCTGATTGGGAAAGGTGCGCTCCCTGAGCGCTGGCCACATCCATCAGGGACCGACGCAGAATCCTGGGTACACTCGGCACTTTTGCATTGCATCTTGTGGCGTCGCTTTTGCAGCCGCGCGCGCGCGCGTGACACGCGAGCGACGTTGAGCCGTTAATCAGTTTGTAGCTTCGACTGGGTCAGGTAACGTTTCGCGCAGTGTCGACAGGGACGGTGAGGGATGTGTCGGGTTAAGGGGGGGGGGTTGTAACGGTGTTGACCCGTCCTGATCTTCTACGTCTCACCGTTCGTGTCGTCGTCGTCGTCCTCGTTGCCCTCGTCATCGTCGTCGTCGTCGTCGTCGTCGTCGTCGTCGTCGTCATCCCCCTCCACCTCCCATCATGACTCCCGTGTGTGTGTGTGTGGGGGGGCGGCTGGTCGTCGTGGGCGTCGTGGTCGCCACATGTCGCCGCCGTCCTGGTCTTTCTGTCGCCGCCGCGCCGCCGCCGACTCCGTTACTGGCCGTCGTCATCGTCGTCGTCGTCGTCGTCGTCTCTCCCTTCTTACGTCTGCTCGAACAAGAGTAGGACGAGCGGTCGCCGTCGTCGTCTTCCTCGTCGTCGTCGTCCTCGTCCTCGTCCTCGTCCTCGTCCTCGTCCTCGCCGCCGCCGCCGCCGCCGCCGTCGTCCCGAGGACCCCGCCGCGGGGCTCCTGGCCACCGTGGACGGCGGCTCGCTGCACGACGCGCGCGGGCGTCCCCTGGACCACCCGCCGCTGTGCGCCTGCGACCCCGACGGGTGGCGCCGTGGGAGCGCGGGCGGCACAGCGCCACTCCCAAGTCGGGCATGTCCCTCTACAGGAGGAATGTCCGGGACTGGTCCAAAAATGGTCCGGGGGACGATTCTTTTTTCACTGTCTGGACTGCTTCTGAGATTTGTTTCGATCTATTTTTGGTTGTTCGTCCAGAACCCGCCTGTATGTAGGAGGACATGCCCGACCGGCTGACCGCCACTCTCCCGCCGATCCCCCCGCGCCCCTCTCGGGGTTTGCACTCGGATGCTCCTCCCTCCGTAGCATTCGAGTTTTTCCCAGCCTCTCAGGGCCTCGCGAGGCCGTCAGGAAGACCGTCGGGGGTGGACTCACGTCGGGCGTGTCCCCCTACAGGGGGTTCTGGGCGACCCATGAACATATTCAAACAATGCCCCCCAATGGGCAACATTTAGTCAAAACATCGTCCCCAGACTGTTTTTTGACTATTGCTGAATATTCCTCTTGTGAAAGGACAGGCCCGACACAAGGGTGGACCAGAGCCCCCGCCCTGGCACGTCGATTTGTGAATCTTGCCCGTGGTCGGTTCTCGAGAGGGCGCCGTGGCCGTCATTTTCCAGGCTTGCGCCCGCCAGAATTTGGCCCCGAGGTCGTTTGCTAAAGGGGGTTCTGTCCATCCCCGAGAACGGCTCGGGACGGAAGGCCGGCTCTATGGGGAAGTGGTGCGGACCTCCGGCACCCGCGCATCGAAGACTGTGGAGCAGCCGGATGTCTGGGCTCCCAGACCCCCTCGAGTAGCGAAAAACACGTGACGGCAGGTTTTTGACCAATTTCGGCCTCTGGGGGCCCTTACCGGGCCTCGGGACCGTCAACGAAACGACTCGGGATGAAACACCGGTCCTGGGCAACAGGCTCAGACCTCGGGGGTCGGCGCAATGAACAAGTCATGACGACGTCTGGGGTCTGGGCCCCGAGCTGCGCCCAGCCGCGGCGACGAGGACCTCCAGAAAAAAAAAAACCCAGCGCCGCGATGGAGGAGGAGGAGGAGGAGGAGGAGGAGGAGGAGGAGGAGGAGGAGGAGGAGGAGGAGGAGGAGGGGAGGAGGAGGAGAGGAGGGAGGGAGGAGGAGGAGATGGAGGAGGCGGAGGAGGAGGAGGAGGGGAGGAGAGGAGAGGGAGGAGGAGGAGGAGGAGGAGGAGGAGGCCCTTCGGTCGCGGCCTCTCCCTCGCCCCCGTGGCGAGACCTCCCAGACGAGCTGCCTGCCGGCTGCTCCTCTGCAGGCGGAGCGCCGTGGTGTACATGTACGAGGGGCTGTACAAGGCCGTCGCTGGGGTGGGCGGGCGAGGGGATCGGGGAAAGGGACAGGGAAAGGTCGGGAGGGGGGATAGGGATATGCGGGGAGGGGGATAGGAATAGAGATTGGGATGGGGATAGGGATAGGGATATGGATAAGGGATGGGGAGGGGAACGAAAGGATGGGATAGGGATAGGGATAGGGATAGGGATAGGGATAGGGATAGGGATAGGGATAGGGATAGGGATAGGGATAGGGATAGGGACGGGTGCCCAGTCGAACGCGGGGAGGGGATGGGGGGAAGGTCGGGGAGGTGGGGGGGGCGAAATCTGGTGCACGCAGCTTGCTTCGGCCCCGCCGCCTGGATGCGGTCCTGCGGGTACATGGGCGGCCCCGGCGCCAGGAGGCGGTTGAAAAACGAGCCACGTGAGTCGCAGCTTCCTAGATGGGGTCAGAGAAGATGGGGTCCGAGGATCGCGGCGCATCGCCGATGCATCGGCGATGCGGCGCGATGTGGATCCCGACTTTCTCCACGCCGATGGCGCCGATGCATCGCCGACGCCGCCGATACATCGCCGATGCATCGGCGATGTATCGCCGATGCGTCGGTGATGCGGCGCGATCCTCCGACCCCATCTACTCGGACCCCATCTAGGAAGCCTCTGGTGAGCTGATGCGCGAATAGCCCGAGACCTCCCTCTTTCTCTTCCGTCTGCTGCCACCGGTCTGCAGCGCCTCGTCCATGACAGCCGTTGCGCAGTGTGTTCGGCCTAGTTACCTCGGGTGACCAGCGCAATTCGGTGACTCATCCTTGACGTGCCAGTTGCGTATGGGGTTGTTTGCACTTTTTTGTTCAATGTCCTGGTGCGGTGCATGGTACGGTGCATGGTACGGTGCATAGGTTTTCGGTCCCGCAGAGCCGGCAGCCCATGCACCGTACCGCGTTGGAGCGGGGCCTGAAGGGAGTCCAAACATGGTACAGCGCATGGGTAGTTACCGTCCTTGCATTCTGGGGTTGTCCACAGATCTCCCTGTTCAAAAATCAGCCAGCGCGGACTCCAAACAGTAAGTTATTGCACTAAGGATGTGTAAGCTGTGTGGTGCAAGCTCTGTTGTGTTGTGAAAGCTATGTGGTGCTGTATACCTGGTGCAAGCTAAAGGCAGTAACCGGCGGCCACGTGGCGAAACCTCGCCGGACCCACCAAGCGCACGAGGCGGCAACGAGGCGGCAATGGGCGGCCACGCGACGAAACCTCGCTGGCCCCATGCAATTCCTCAGAAACGCAATTAATAGCCTGAAGTCGGGCGTGTCCCTCTACAGGAGGAAAATCCAGAAATAGTCAAAAATAGTAAGGGGACGATTGATTTGACTGAGTTTGGCTATTTTCAATTATGTTTGATTATTTTTCAGTTCTACAGTGGGGTTTCGACCCCCATCTCCCCCGCCAACACGTGCAGCGTGCTGAAGGGCAGAAGGGGTGCAAAACTCTTCAGTGAGGTTTTGACCCCCGTCTCCCCCGCCAACACGTGCAGCGTGCTGAAGGGCAAAAGGGGTGCAAAACTCTTCAGTGGGGTTTTGACCCCCGTCTCCCCCGCCAACACGCGCAGCGTGCTGAAGGGCAGAAGGGGTGCAAAACTCTTCATCCCCAAACCGAAAGTTTTTTCCTCGTGCATGGGAACGCATGGCTCCATTTTGATCCAATTACGTGTGTGCGAGAATCACGTGGATCCAATTCCCGTGTCTTCTGTATCAAGTTTTTTGGCGTGAAAGCTTCGTGGATCCAATTCTTTTGCTGGAATAGATTTTTAAGAATCATTAATTCAAGGGACCCAGGGGGAAATGGATCCACGGAGCCTTGGGCCTGCAGCCCAAGCTATGATTCTACGGGGGAGGGGTTTCCCTACCGAGAAGGGAGGCGGACGAGGAGGGAGGACGGAAGAGGCGGATGAGGGAGAAGGGAGGAGGAGCGAACACGACCGCGGTGCCCAAGTCGGGAGCTCGAGCGCCACAGCGGGCCTGACCACCTCTCCGAATCCCTCCCATAACATGTCGTTGCTCGAGCGCCACAGCTGCCCCGGCCAACTCCCGCAGCCTCCATCACATGTGGGTGCTCGAGCGCCACAGCGGGCCTGGCCAACTCCCGCAGCCTCCCATAACATATGCCGCCCCCCACTTCGCATTTAGCATGTGGGCCTCAAGAGGAACATCTTTCGGCCTGCTCAAGTATGTGTGAATTCGCCTGTAGGAGGACATGCCCGGCCAAACCCTGGACCCGTCCTGGGGACCCATCTTGGCCAGAGTTCTCAAGCCGCGGCCACTCGTGGCAATGAAAAACCTCCGGGGACGCCCAGGTGCGAAGAACCAAGGTGCCCCTTTCTCAGACATCCGTCGTGGTGTTCTTGTTCACCACGTGGCCCCCCAGAGGTACGGACCCCTTCCCCTGTAGCGATTTTTCATCCCTGGCTAGTGGTTGGCAGTCCTCGGGGTTGGTGGGCGCCTCAGGAGGCCGAAAGTGCCCACAAACTGGCCGTCGTGATTCTTTCGCCCGCAGATGACGGCTCCAGCTCGCGGGCGCGAGCTCTGACCTCTGTGAGGCGCGGCGGCCGTGTCCGAAGGTGCGACCTTGCGACCCCCGTTCAGAGGCCAACAACATATGGAGCGTACCAAAAAGGACCATGCTGGCACCGACCCCCCTTCCATCCTCGTCCAATCATTCTGTGCGCGCGCTCATTCATCAAAAACCATGAAGGTTCAAGGATCCTTCACAGTAGATGGGGCGAAGTGCACGCTCGCGCGTCGTCGCGCGCGCATTCCCAAACCCCGATTTCGACTTGGAAAGGGATTCAACATCGAGTGTCCCGAAAACACATTAAGCATCATTCGTTGGTCCGAATATTTCGACAAATACTGTGCGCAAGCGCCCCTACGCATCCTTTAAACACCAAGTGTTTTCGGACACTTTCACCACATGCGGCCAAGCGGCCCTCTCGTGCGCGCGTGTCAATTCATTGGAACGTCCTTGTGCGCGAGTTGCATGTGTGTGTGTGAGGGGTGCACGATCCTCGTTAACACCATGCGTGCCATTCGGCCGTTCGCGCGCGTCGGCCTCGCGCGCATCTCGAAATTTGCTCACAGCCTTCATCGCCAGCATGTGGACACCATCGTCGTCATCGGTGTGAGACGCATCGCCGCCGTCATTGGCCTTGCTGTCGTCATCGTCGTCGTCGTCGTCACCAGCATAGCTACAAGCATCATCGTGTCTGCCGTTGCCGACGTCACCATGAAAACGCGCCCGCCCGAGTTACCAACTCTCACTGAAGTGCCCGCGCGTCAGCGCGGTTTGCGAGACGTGCTGGGAAGTCCGCAATGGTCAGCGCCACCGCTGCCGCGTCGGTCGCGCGAGATTAACTGGCCGGTGGCGCGCGCGAGCCTGCGCGCAAGCGCGGCCGCAGCGGTGCGCCTGCCAGTGCCGAGCAGTCATCGCAATCGCCGGCGCATGGGTTTTGCAAACCAATCACGGGCGGAAGTGTTGGATGATTGCACGAGCGGTGGATTTCACAACCCGATGCGAAGAACCATTTTTTGCACGCAAGCGCGCGGCGGCATCTGCATCAGAGTCCTCCCCAGTATCCCGCGCACCCCACTCCCCACGAGTGGTGGGTTTGGTGGTGTGTGTGTGTGTGTGGCTGTGTGTGTGTGTGTGCGTGCGTGCGTGCGTGCGTGCGTGCGTGCGTGTGTGTGTGTGTGTGTTTGTGTGTGTTTGTGGGTGTGTGTGTGTGTGTGTGTTTGTGTGTTTGTCTATGTGCATATGTGTCTGCTTGTGTGTGTTGTGTGGCGTCGGTGGGAGGGGGGAGGCGGGGCAAACAAAGCAACAAAACATAGTATGAACTTTTGAACTCGAACTTTCCTTTGTTCGAATTTTTGCTTACCCCCTCTCCATCCCAGTACCACCACTGCACTCTGGGAGAGCGGGCGCGCCAAATGGGGGCCCTTTGCCAAGACTCCGGGTGGACCGTGGTTTGCGCGGTACGGTAAGCTTATGTCGGGCACGTCCCCTTGCAGGATAAATATTCAAACATTGGCCAAAAATAATACGGGTACGATTTTCCTGTCTTATACCGTTTTTGAATCGTTGTTGTTTTTTGTTCCAAGTTTTCCGTCCGAATCCGCCTGTAGGGGGACACGCCCGACCGAGTGGTGTACATGTGAGTGCGTGTGTCTGTTTGTGGGTCTCGGCCAAGAAGATATGGGGACCGAAGACCCCCGCAACACGAAGCCACCCCCCCAAAACCGTCGTCAGTCGCGGAGGGGGGTCGAAGACCTCAAAAAAAAAGTCTTTGTGCATTTTAGCAGAGGGGGGGTGGAATGCACCAGGACCCCTCTTTTTCAAATTCGCCCCCCCACCCCACCCCCACCCACCCCTCCGTCCCCTCCGATCCCAGGCTTTGGCGTCATCTTTTATCCTCTTCCTTCCTCGTCTCTCATTCACGCCTTCCTCTCTCCGCCTCCATCATGCGTTTCCCTCTCCTCCCTTGCCTTATTTATCCTCATCAATCCTTCACTCTTTCCTCCCTCCGCCGCCCTTGCGCAGCATCCTGCCCCACTGAGCGTTAGGAGGCCCAGCTTGGAAAAAAAGGCAACCGTTCTTTCTTCAGTACCGAAGCCAATTGCCTTAGCCAGCTCGACCTGCCAACCCGTCCAAGCAGCCAGCCAGCCCACCCGGCCACCCCGCCAACCCGTCAGCCAACCAGCCCCGCCGCCCACCCCGTCAACCCCCGCCAACCCGCCGATCCCCCCCGCCTGCTCCCCGTGCCCAGCCGGCCACCCCGTCAACCTGCCCTCCCCTGCCGCCTGCCCTTTGTCACCGGAGGAGGAGGAGGAGGAGGAGGAGGAGGAGGAGGAGGAGGAGGAGGAGGAGGAGGAGGGGAGGAGGAGGAGGAGGAGGGAGGAGGAGGAGGAGGAGGAGGAGGAGGAGGAGGAGGAGGAGGAGGAGGAGGAGGAGGACCAGGAGGACCAGGAGGAGGAGGACCAGGAGGAGGAGGACCAGGAGGGGGAAGACTTTCTTCCCAGCGAAAGCCAGAAAAAACTAGACCTCCCGGGGACCGGCGGGACAGCGGGGAGGGGGCAAATCGCACTGTACAATGCAGGGCCGGGATTCGTGCCGGGGTGTGCCCAGGACGGTTTCGGGCCTCAAGTATGACACTGTCGTCATTTTTTCAACGTCCACTGCGCCCTCTTTCTCAACGAGCAGCTCTCATCCTTGAAACTGTCGCCAATTTTGAGGCCCCAGGAGGGTTCAGGAGGCCGCAAGAAGCCTCAGCAGGCCCCACGGGGGCTCGGGAGGTCTCCTGATGCCGTTGAGGCCAATTTTCATGGTTCAGGAGGCCGCAGAAGGCTTCCGAAAGCTGCCAAGAGGCCCCAGGAGGCCTCAGGAGGCACCAGGAAGCTCCAGGAGACTTCAGGACGCCCCCGGAGTCCGTGGGAATCCCAAGGAGGTTCCAGGACGTTCCAGGAGGTCCCAGGATGCCCCGCGAGGTCCTTCAAGGCCCCACGAGGAGGAGGAGGAAGAGCAGGAAGCGAGGGAGGGAAAACGAGACAGGAAGTCGGCAGAGGATGTGCAGGAGACTGATGACGATGTTGATGACGATGAGGACGAGGAGGAGGAGCAGGAGGAGGAGGAGGACGATGGGGGAGGAGGAGGATCAGAGGGAGAAGGAAAATGACGAGAACGAGGAGGAGGAAGAGGAGGAGGGTGAGGACAAACAGAAGCCAGATGGGAGCATCAAACAGAGTCGGGATAAGCATCTCAAGGGCGCCGAGGACCAGGACGGAGATACACATTCAGAAAGAACACGGCATCATGATGGTGTCATCGCGGTAAGGCTAGCAACAAGCGTCGCGACGACGTTCCAATGAGTGATTGTGATCAAATTGGTTTCTACCCCAGCGAGGGGCGTTACAGGGTGTATATATATATATACATACACATATTTATGTATATATGCATGTGTGTGTATTAACAAACACGGCCCCATTCGACATTTGGAGCCGAGCCCTGACACCAAGAGCCCCGGGGATGCCCCCGAGGCGCTCCCAAGGAGTCCCAAACAGACTTCCAGGATACCCCCACTGAAAACCTAGGGGGCCCCACCCCCAGGGACCTCCAAGAGCCCTTTAAGAGTGTCCCCCAAACGCATGCAAACACATTGGCATTCCCAGAACGGTTTCCCCAGGCTGTCAGGAACCCTCGGGCGTCCCGCATGGGCCGCCCTGGGTCCTCCAGGTGGCTGCCTTGCGCGCCTTCCTGGAGACCTCCAGTGCACCTTTTCAGAAAGCAGCTGGTAGGGATCGCCCTTCGCGCATACCTATGGCGCGAGGTCGTGCTGGACGTCGCCTCCATCAAATAAGTTAGCCGAGTCATAGGTCTGGTACCCTATGTCGTGCAACATCTTAACGTTTCCCAGCACAGCGCAGTACGACTAAGGGATCCCCAAGTCTGTGCCCGATACGGCTTCGACAGACATTGCCCGGTACGGCTTCGATTGACCTTGGCAGCCCTCAGATGGTTCGAGCTGCCCCACATCATTGGCCCCCAAGGTTCCAAAGGGACATCCCAAACACCTCCGAGATAGTGTGATGGGGCCCTCCAGACGCCCTGAAGGTCTTCGAGAAACCGCGGAAGACGATCCACAGGCCACGAGCCTGCCGAAGTCTCCTACAGGTTACCTTTCGGGCAGTTGCTGGGTGTATCTGCGCTGGGCAGCAGGATCTCCTAGGGCATCCTTATTCAACGACTCCTGAAGCGTCCATCAGGGAGCACGCTCACAGACGGTGATCCTTGCGGCTTGCGGGATGCTGTTCGTCCTCATCCAGTCTGGTAGGTTGACTTGGACTGCGCTGGAGCCTAAGCGCGCGGTGCGCGCGTGTGGTTCTAGTATGTGTGTGTGTGTGCGTATACAAGCCAGGTGCTAGAGTTTTTGACCATCGGCTGAGAATTGCATAGCTGGTCCCGCGTGCCGCGGACGACCGATTAGGATGCAAAAGTGCCCCTTTGCGGAGTCGCGAGCCTTCGCTTGCTCTCTGGGATGGTTGGCCAGCGAAGAAAGAGCGACAGCTTTGGATAAGGATGCCCAGCTCCACGCCGCGTCAAAGCGAGAACGAATACAAAAGAGCATCGCGTTGACATCGGCATGACAACGGCGATGATGAAGATGACGCTGACAATCTCAAGCGACCCATGCGGAGTGATTGAGTTGTGAGAGGGTCCGAATTTGAGTGGTTGCCATGCCTTTTCTTTATGGGACTGAGTAGTTGTCACACTACACGTGTATACTTGCGGGGTACGAACCCATGGAATTCGGATCGTCCCCTGACCGAAAACCTGTCGCTAAGATTCTAGGGGGGGTCGGGGGTGTCCGAAGCTTGACGTCTTATGGTCAAACCTATGAGACCCCGTGTATGTATGTACGTATGTATGTATGTATGCATGTAAGTATACATGTATGTCTGAATGTGTGTGTATGTTTGTGTGCATATGTGTATGTATGTATGTATGTATGTATTTCAATGTCGCTATATGTATGTATATTTATTTAGTGCACCCACCCGATACATTCCACCGCATGTTTGCTCTTGTCTTAAAGGAGAAAAGATTCGACCCCTCGGGATTATCGGGGCACCCTTTCGTCTTGCAAAATATGGTTGTTTCTGTCCCATCGTCCAGCCTCGATGTGAATTTGCACCACCGGGGCGGTTTCCGCCCCCTCCCCCCGCCATTCTTTGCAAAACATATTATGCGCGCGCGCTCGCTTGTCAAAGACCATCAGTTTTCAAAAGTCACGTGCAACATCTGATACGAAGTGCACGCGCGCGTCGTCGCGCGCGCATGCCGACATCTTTCAAAAGCTCTGGGCTTCGTAAGGATGTCGAGATCGAGTGTCCAACAAACATATAAACGCACAAGTTTTCGCAACGCGTTTCTCATATAAAAAACTCGCGCGCATTCTCGCGAGTTCTGAAGGGGCGCAATGCGGTCACCGTGGCAGGCTGGCGCAACCGTGATCTTACACGCCTGACACCGGTGGACACCCGCCCCGAAGCCCTAAACGGATAGCGGGGTCGCGGCTGAAGGAGGAGGAGGAAGAGGAGGAGGAGTCGTAGGATGGAGGCAGGGAGGACTTTCTCGATATAGAGAATTCGATTGTATATATACACACATATACAAACGATCGGTTTTCAACATGTTCAGAACATGCTACCGAACGGGCTTCTCGCGCGCGCATGTCGAAATTGTTCGTCCGCCCTTGCGCGCGTGCTTTCGCGATAATCTTTTGTGGGGCTAAGTGCGCGCGCGCGTCGTCGCGCGCGCTTGCTGGAATCCGTCAACAACCTTCATGTCGTAGCGATTTCAATACCGAGTCTCCAACGAACACATAAAACACATGGCTTCACAACGCCAGTCTTCATATAGGCGTGCGTTCGCGCTTTTGCGATTCTTTTAGAAAGCCATCGGTTTTTCCCCCCAGCTTTCTCATGGAATTCTGCCAATCGGGCCCCTCGCGCCGCACACCGACATCATTCGCACGCCTTTGCGCGCGGGTTGGGGGCGGGGCGATCAGTGTCAAGTAATACCATGCCGGCCATTCTTGCGCGTCGGCCGCGCGCATGTCGATTTCTGTCAAAAACCTTCATCACCCACGCGACGACGTCGTTATCGTCGTCGGCGTGATCAGCATCGGCGCCCGCAGTGACCGCGCCGTCGTCGTTGCCAACATCGTCACCAGCATGGCTAGTATCATCATCGTGTCTACCGTTGTCGACGTTGACATGCAACCGCGCCCGCCCACGTCGCCGACTCGCACAAAAAATGCCAGCTGGGATGTGACCAGTGGTCAGCGCCACCGTTGCCGCGTCCGTCGCGCCAAACTAGCTGGCGGCTGCGCGCGCGTGCTTGGGTCGGCGCGGCCGCAGAGATGCACCAGCCAACGCCAAGCACGAACCGCAATCGCCACCGCATGGGTTTTGCAAACCTATGCGCGGGTGGGTGGGTGGGATGTTTGCAAGAGCGTGGGACGTGTCAGCTCGTTTGCGAGAAATCAAGTGCGCCACATAGATTGCACCATGCTGGTTGCGTCACATAGATCGCGCCACGTAGGGTGCTACAGGCACAGCGCCAGCCCACACGTGCCAGGGTAAGGGATGGGAGATGAAGGAGGACGGAGGAGGAGAGGAGGAGGAGGAGGAGGAGGAGGAGGAGGAGGAGGAGGAGGAGGAGGAGGAGGAGGAGGAGGAGGAGGAGGAGGAACGACGAAGACGAACAGGGCACGAACAGGGGCAGCACCGCGAACACCCCTCCCCCGCGAGCCCGCCAGGTGCTCTCCTTCGCCGCGCGGCCGCCGCAGGGCCCCGCCGCGTGCGGGCCCGCCATCGGCCCGACGCCCCGCCCGGTCGCCGCGGAGGCAGCGCGGGACGCGTCGTCGCCGCCTCGCCGTGGGCGATCGGCGACGCTCGGGGCGAACGGGGGGGGAGGGAGGAGGGAGGAAGGGGAGAACGGAGGGGGATGATGATGATGATGATGATGATGTTGATGATGCTGATAATGCTGATGATGATGATGGTGATGGTGATGGTGATGGTGATGGTGATGGTGATGTGATGATGATGATGATGATCATGATGATGATGATGAGATGATGATGATGATGATGATGATGATGATGATGATGATGATGATGATGATGATGCTGATGATATCATCATGCTGATGCTGATGCTGATGCTGATGCTGATGCTGATGATGATGATGAGGAGGAGGAGGAGGCGGAGGAGGAGGAGGAGGAAGAGGAGGAGGAGGAGGAGGAGGAGGAGGAGGAGGAAGGAGAGAGGAGAAGGAGGAGGAGGCGGAGGAGGAGGAGGAGGAGAAGGAGGAGGAAGAGGAGGAGGAGGAGAAGAGAAGGAGGAAGAGGAGGAGGAGGAGGAGGAGGAGGAGGAGGAGGGAGGGGAGAGGAAGAGGAACTAGAGGGGGAGGGGGAGGAGTTGGAGGAGGAGGAGGAGGAGGAGGAGGAGGAGGAGGAGGAGGACGAGGACGAGGACGAGGAGGAGAAGGAGGAGGAAGAGGAGGAGGAGGAGGAGGAGGAAGAGGAGGAGCAGGAGGAAGCAGGAGAGGGCGACGATCGTCGTCGTCGTCGTCGTCGTCGTCGTCGTCGTCGTCGTCGTCGTTGTTTTCGTCGTCCGTTTCCTCTTCCTCCTCCCTCGACCCCGCTTCCTCCTCCCTCCTCGATCCCGCCCCCTTCTCCCCCTCCTCTCGCGTCCTCCTCCTTTCACGTTGCGCAGAGTCTGGTTGGTTCAACCGTAGCGTTAAGACGCCCTCCCTGTCTTCCTCCTCCTCCTCCTCCTCCTCCTCCTCCTCCTCCTGCTCCTCCTCCTCCTCTTCCTCCTCCTCTTCCCTGGCCTTCCGCGTCCTCCTCCTTCTTTTCTTCCTTCTCGTGCCACGTCCTTCCTCCTCCGCTTTTTCTTCCTCCTGCGTGCTCCTCCTGCCACCCCCGGAGGTCTGGACCCCCCTCAAAAGGGAACGGCTTGTCATCCCGACGCACTCTACGACGACCCCAGGGCCGCGGAGAAGGCTCCGAGGGGCCGACCGACCGCAAAAACCCTCCCGTCGTGGTTTTGCCGCGACGCCACGGCGTCCCGCCCGCCCTCGCTGCCGCACGCCCCGCCCCCGAGGCGGGCCTCGAGAGCCCCCGCGCGCTGGGGGGCCTCGGCGCCGGGCGCCTGGCGGCCGCCTCGGCCCCGCTTCGGCCAGACCGCCCGCGCGGCTCGGGCGGCGCCCCCGCCAGACCTGCGGGCCTCGGCGAGCCCTCGCCGTGCGCCAGCGGCCCAGACAGCCGTCGTGTCGAAGACATGGACGGTCGCAGGTTTTCCGCTGTTCCTGGCCCCTCGGGGCCCCCAGACGGGGCCTCGCGGGGCCTCCCCCAAACGGCTCGGGGCGGGAGACCGGTCCCGAGGGAGTGGTCGCGAGGTCCTGAAAAGATAGATCGAGACGCCGCATGTCTGGGTCGATTTTTTTGTTGTTGATTCCCTTTTTATATGTTTTTCTACAATCCAGGCGGAACGCAAAAGGGGTCACGTCCCCCCCCCCCAAAACCGGATTCCTGGGATCTGGGGCTTTGGGACCTTTTGGACGGGCCTCGAAGCGGCCCCCCGGGCCTCGCAGGGCGTTTTGCCAAGCCTTCCCAGCACACCTAAGGCGGTCACGGGGGGGTCATCGGAGACGTCCCAGAGACCCCCAAGACAGCACAAGAGCGCTCCAAGAGTGACCGACGCGACCTCCAGATGGCCCAAGAGGCCTCCAAGACGGTCCCAAAGAGGCCTCCAAGAGCACTCCCAAGAAGGCCCCAAGAGGCAAAAAACATTGATTTTCTTTTGGTTTTTGGTGAATTTGGGGGTTCTCCTCTTTTCGACTTCCCGACGCTCCAAGACGGCGGTCTTCTGGGCGTCCGAAGCTGCCTGGGAGACTCCAAAATCGCCCCACAAACATCCGAAAGGGCTTCCGGGCAATCCAAGAGAGCCCCTAAACGGCACAACACGGGTCCAAGATGGCCCTCAGAGAGCCCCATGGCGGCCCAAGATGGCCCCAAGACACTCTCCGAAGCATTCCAAATCGTGACCCGGTCGTTCAGGGAGACCGCGGTTGGAGGCAGGGTGGCCCGAGGAAGCCCCCAGAGGCCCCCAGAACACACCCAGGAGGCTTCCAGAAGGCCTTCAGAAAGACTGAGACAACTTTTGTGAGGCCCCCAGAGGCTCTCCAAGGAGGAGCCTCCGCAAAAAAGAGCTGCGGAGGATGGGGAGAATGCGCAGGGTATGGCGAAAATGAAGAAAAAGCATGGAGGAAGGATAACGAATGACATTACTATAGCGGCGATGCCGGAAAAGGCAACAAGGAGTTATCGCTAAATTGTCGGCTTGACCTTCCTGCTATTCCGCCTGCACACCAATTTTCAAGGACCAAGGCGCATGGCGCGAAGCGCCAATGCAGTCTTGTATTCCTCTTCCTATATTTTTATAAGCCCCGGGGGGGGGGAAAACCCGTCCCCCTCCCCCTAACCGGACCCCCGGGATCTGGAGCTTTGGGACCCTCCGGATGGGCCTCGAAGCGGCCCCCTGGGCCTTGCAGGGCGTTTTGCCAAGCCTTCGCAGCACACCCAGGGTGGTCAGGGGGGTCACCGGAGACGTCCCAGAGACCCCCAAGACAGCACAAGAGCGCTCCAAGAAGCCGTCATACCCCGAAAGATCGCTCCAAAACGTACCAAGAGGCCTCCAAGAGCACCTCCAAGAAGGCCCCAAGAGAAAAAAACATTGATTATGTTCAAGTTTTTGGTGCATTTGGGGTTCTCCTCTTTTCGGCTTCCCGACGCTCCAAGACGGCGGTCTCCCAGGCGTCCGAAGCCGCCTGGGAGTCTCCAAAATCTCCCCACAACCATCCGAAAGGGCTTCCAGGCAGTCCAAGAGAGCCCCAAAACGGCACAACAGGAATCCAAAATGGCCCTAAGAGAGCCCCATGGCGGCCCAAGATGGCCCCAAGACACCCTCCGAAGCATTCCAAATCGTGACTTGTGCGTTCAGGGAGACCGCGGTTAGAGGCAGGTTGGCCTTAGGAAGCCCCAGAGGCCCCCAGAACACACCCAGGAGGCCTCCAGAAGGCTTTAAAAAATCCAGAGAACTTTGGTGAAGCCCGCAGAGACTCTGCAAGGAGGAGCCTCCGCAAAAAGACCTGAGGAGGATGGGGAGAATGCCCAGGGTATGGCGAGAATGAGGAAAAATAAACATGGAGGAAGGATAACGAACAACATTATCATAACGGCGATGCCAGAAAAGACAGCAAGGAGTTATCGCTAAATTGTCGGCTTGACCTTCCTCCCATTTCCGCCTGCATACCAAACTTCAAGGACCAAGGTGCATGGCGCGAAGCGCCACTGCAGTCTTGTATATATATATATGTGTATATATATATATATATATATATATATTCCTCTTCCTATATTTTTATAAGCCCGGGGGGGGGGGAAACCCGTCCCCCCCCCCCTAACCGGACCCCCGGGATCTGGAGCTTTGGGACCCTCCGGATGGGCCTCGAAGCGGCCCCCTGGGCCTTGCAGGGCGTTTTGCCAAGCCTTCGCAGCACACCCAGGGCGATCAGGGGGGTCACCGGAGACGTCCCAGAGACCCCCAGGACAGCACAAGAGCGCTCCAAGAGAGACCGAGGTGACCTCAAGATGGCCCAAGAGGCCTCCAGGACGGCCCCAAAGAGGCCTCCAAGAGCACTCCCAAGAAGGCCCCAAGAGGCAAACATCGATTGCTTGTACAGGCGGTCTTTCTTTGTTCTTCTTTTAAAATTATTTGTCGATTCTTAAGGTTTCAGTCCAGGAAACATTTTCGAATCGTCACCGCCCACTTGTCTGAATCATGTGGCCGCATCGCTCCACCCATCGGGTGTCTGGGTGCGCTCGGTGGGGTTCTGGCGCAGGGGCCTCGCGCCGTGGGCCCCGGGGCACGGGGCGGGCCTCCGGAGGTCTTTGCTGGCGGCCCCAGCGGCAGGGTTCGCATGGCGGCCCCCGCGCGCCCACCTCGGCACACCCCTCACGAGCTTCGCGGCGCCACAGGAAGCCCCACGGACGGCCCCAGCGGCATGGCTCGCATGGCGGCCCGGCACCCACTGCGGCACACCCCCCCGGGGACATCGGCCGTCCTGGCTTCCGCTGGGCGCAAGAGGTCGGGGGCCGGGCCCCTGGCCGTGTGCCGGGCCAGAGAGGGCCGCTCGGAACTCGGGCGGGTGCTCACGGAGGGGGACCCACATGTCGGGGGGAAGGAAGGGGACCTGCAGGGGCCCTTTCTACAGGGCCCCTTTTCGGCTTCCGCTGGCTCCCAAAAAAGTCCGGGCTCTTTTCTTCACCCCCCCCTTCGGGTCACCCCCCATCGCCACCCGCCCGAGGAACGATCCCAGCGTCCCCGGGCTCTCGCCGAGGCGCGGCCTCCGGGCGGCACAAGGGGAGCTCCCGGGCAGCCCGAGAGGTGGGCCGAGGCCCGCCGCCCCGGGAGCTCCCGCGGAACAGGGGCGGCAGGCTTCGGAGAGCGTGCCCATGATCGGGGCGTGGATCGGCGGCGGCGGCGGCGACGGCGGACGGCCGGCGGTGCCGTCGGCGGCGGCGACGGCGGCCGCGCGAAGGCGGCGCGGCCGTGGCCGCGGGGGCGGTCACGGAAGCGCGCACGGCCACGGCGGCAGCGGTGGGTCGGGGCGCGCCGCCAGCCGAGGCGGCGGCGGTCTTCACAGCCGGCGCGGCGGAGTCCCGCGTGCTCGACCTCGCTTTTCTGCACCCGGAGCCGCGCTGCTGCGCTGCTCCGCGCCGCCCCGAGCCGCCGCTGTCTGCTCTCTACTGGGGGAGAAGTCGAGGACTGAGTTTTGCTCACTTCGGGCATATTCGCATTATTCACATCGTGTTCTTCTCTTCCTGCTCTCCACATCGATAGTTATATCTGTATACATACATTAATTCATATACGTGCATGCGTACATCTATACGAAAGAGCGCGTTCTGTGGGCGCTTGGAAGGGGGGGGTTGGAACCGGCCCCCCCCTCGTTGATTGAACGGGGGGGGGTTCAAACCCCCACCCTTGCCTCCCATGACGGAAGGGGGGGGGTTTGACCCCCCCGCCCCCTTCCCTCCGTGCTCTCTCTCCTCGGGCAAGTGCAGGCGTCGGCGGCAGCTGGCGTCGGCGGCGGGGAGCGTCGATGAACATGACGGATTCGTTTTCTAGGCCGGCGCCGGCGCCTGCGACGGCTGGCGGCGGCGGCGGGAAACGTTGACGAGCACAATTGCGACGACGACAATGACGACGACGACGACGACGCTCCGCCACCGTGCCTTAGTGTTGGAGTAGAATCCTAATGGATGCCTCTTGGGGTCTCGTCGGAGGGCTCCGGGGAGCTTCTTAAGGACATTTGTGAAGCCTGCTGGGTGCCTCTTGGGCGTCTCTTGAGACCTCTTTGGGGTGGGGGTGATGGTGGGCTGTGGTAGAGGTGGTGGTGATGGTGGCGGTGGTGGTCGTGGTTGTGGTGTTTGGTGGTGGTGGTTGTTGTGGGGGTTCTTGTGGTGGTTGCGGTGGCAGGTTGTGGTAGTGGTGGTGGTGGCGGTGGCGGTGGTGGTGGTGGTGTGGTGGCTTCTGGTGGTGATGGTGGTGGTAGTTGTGGTGGTGGTGGTGGGTTGTGGTGGTGGCGGTGGCGGTGGTGGTGTGGTGGTTTGTCGTTGTGGTTGTAGTGGTGGTAGTGGCTGTGGTGGTGGTAGTGGGTGTGGTGGTGGTGGGTTGTGGTGATGGTGGTGGCGGTGGTGGTGATTGTGGTGGTGGTGTGGTGGTTAATTGTGGTTGTGGTGGTTGTGGTGGTTGTGGTGGTGGTGGTTTGTGGTGGTGGTGGTTTGTGGTGGTGTTGGTGGTGTGGTGGTTTGTGGTGGTGGTTGTGGTTGTGCTGGTGGTGGTGGTGGTAATGGTGGCGGTGGTGTGGTGGTTTGTGGTGGTGGTGGTGGGTTGTGGAGGTGGTGTTGGTGGCGGTGGTGGTGTGGTGGTTGTGGGGTGGTGGTTTGTGGTGGTGGTGGTTGTGGTGGTAATGTGTGGTGGTGGTGAGGTGGTGGTTGTGGCGGTGGTGGTGGTGTTGTTGGCGGTTTGTGTTGGTGGTGGTGGTCGTGTGGTGGTTCGTGGTGGTGGTGGTGTGGTGGTTTGTGGTGGTGATGGTGGGCTGTGGTGGTGGTTTGTTGTGGTGGTGGCTGTGACGGTGGTGGTGGTGGTGTGGTGGATTGTGGTGGTGTATAGTGGTGGTGGGTTGTGGAGGTGGTGGTGGTGGGTTGCTGTGGTGGTGGTGATTCTATGGTGGTTTGTGGTTGTGGTGGTGGCAGTGTGATGGTGGTGGTGGTGGGTTGTGGTGGTGGTGTTGGTGGTGGCGTGGTGGTTTGTGGTTGTTCTGGTGGTTGTGGTGGTGTGATGTGGTGTTGGTGGTGGTGGTGGTGCTGCTGGTGGTTGTGCTGGTGGTTGTGCTGGTGGTGGTGGTGGGTTGTTGTGGTGGTGGTGGTGATTGTTGTGGTTGTGGTGGTGGTGGTGGGTAGGTTTGTTGTTGTGGCGGTGGGTTGTGGTGGTGGTGGTGGTGGTGGTGTTGTAGTTTGTGGTGGCGGTGATTGTGGTGCGTTATGGTTGGTGTTGTTGGTGGTTGTGGTGGTCGCTTTTGTAGTGGTGGTGGTGGTGTAGTGGTTTGTGGATCTGATGGTGGTTGTGGTGGTGGTGGGTGATGGTGGTTGTGGTGGTTGTGGTGGCGGCGGTGGTGGTGGTGGTTGTGGTGGTGGTGGTGTGGTGGTTGTTGTTGCGCTGGTGGTGGTGGTGGTGCTGGTGGTGTTTGTGTGGTGGTTTGTAGTGGCGGTGGTGGAGTGGTGGTTTGTGGTGGTGGTGGTTGGTTGTGGTGGTGGTGGCGGTGGTGGTCGTGGCGTGATGGGTTGTGGTGGTGGTGGTGGTAGTGGTGGTGGGTTGTTGTGGTGGTGGTGGTGGATTGTTGTGGTGTTGGTGGTGGTGGTTTGTGGTGGTGGTGGTGGTCTGTGTGGTGGCTTGTAGTGGTGGTGGCTTGTGGTGGTGATGGTGGTAGTCGTGGTGGCGGTGGTCGTGGTGGTGTCTCTGCGGTCTGTGGTGGTGGTGGTGGTTGGTGGTGATCGGCTGTGGTGTTAGTGGTGGTGGTGCTACTGCTGGTGGTGGTGCTCATGGCGGTGGTGGGTGGCGGTGGTGGTGCTGGTTTTCATGGTGGTGTGGTGGTTTGTGGTGGTTGTGGTGTTGGTGGTTGTGGTGGTGGTGGTTGTGGTGGTGGTTTGTGGTGGTGGTGGTGGTGGTCGTGGCGGTCGTAGTTGTGGTGGTGGTTTGTGGTGGTGGTGTTGGTGGCGATGGTGGTGTGGTGGTTCGTCGTGGTGGTTGTGGTGGTGTTATGGTTGTGCCGCGAAGTGGGTTGTGGTGGGGATGGTGGTGGTGGCGGTGGTGGTGGTTGTGGTGGTGGTGGTGAGGTGGTGTGGTGTTTTGTTGTGTTGTATAGTGGTGGTGGTGGTGGTGGTGGTGGTGGGGTGGTTTGTGGTGGTGGTGGTGGTGGTGGTGGGTTGTGGTTGTGGTGGTAGAGGTGGCGGTGGTGGTGGTGGTTGTGGTGTGGTGGTTTGTGGTGGTGGTGGTGGTGGTTGCGGTGGTGGTGGTGGTGGTGGCAGGTTGTTGTCGCTGTAGTGGTGGTGGTGGTGGTGTGGTGATTTGTGGTCGTGGCGGTGGTAGTGGTGTTGGTGTGGTGGTTTGTGGTGGTGGTGGTGGTATGGTGGTTTGGGAGTTTGTGGTGGTGGTGGGTTGTGGTGGTTGTTGTGGTGGTGGTTGTGTTGTGGCGTTGGTGGTGGTGGTATGGTGGGTTGCTGTGGTGGTGGTTGTGGTGGTGGGTTGTTGTTGTGGTGGTGGTGGGTTGTTGTGCAGGTGGTGGTGGCTGTCGTGGTGGTGGTTGTGTGGTGGTTTGTGATTGTGGTGGTGGGTTATGGCGGTGGGGGTGGTAGTGGTGGTGGCGGTGGTGGTGATGGTGGCGTGGTGGTTTGTGGTGGTGGTGGTGGTGGGTTGTGAGTGGTGATGGTGGTGGTTGTGGTGTTGGTGGTGGTGGTGTGGTGATTTGTGGTGGTGGTTGTGGCGGGTTGTGGTGGTGGTGCGTTGTGGTGACGGTGGTGGTGGTGGTGGTTTGGTGGT